CACATGTATACATATATAGACGAAAACGGCTACTCGTCTGCGCGACTCTCCTCATTTCGCGTACTCTCTAGGGAAGAAAACTGTAGAATAAATCGTATATATGGCTGTGGAAATAGTGAGCTAAAAAAGTCTCAACTTTTCTTTATAGCTATCAGTTTGTCAGGAAAATAATGAGCACTCTGTGGCATCGAAAATCGCATTGTTGCCGAGAAAATAAATTGTTTCGTGGCAAAATCAATTGCTTTTGGCTTCAGCAACGCGATCGGCGCTACGACATTGTGCTCATTATTTTCCCGACAGACTGATAGTTACACTTTTTTAATCGTATCATCGAAAAAATTGGCCAAAGAACTTGATATAAAACTTCCCGATCACCCTTCATCGAAAAAGAGCAGCTATTGTCGATCAATTTCACCAATAACCTCATGATCAAATCTCCGTATTAGCATAATTTCGCCCACGTAAAGTCAAGCACCCACAGCGGCAAAGCGCTCTCCGAAAAAGAGGACGTTCGGTGAAAAAAAAGGCCGAGTTTCAAAAGAAGAGGATGAAATAAAGCTCGTGCTCCAATATTCATGCCATTTTATATAAATAAACATGCTAAAGGCTTTCTGTACGGTTTTGTGAAATATTTTGTTTACAGGAGAAATTGGTGGTGAAAATATAGAAGAAGATATTTTTATGAAAATCCGGTTTTGAAAAAACAATGTATGAGTCTGTCGGGAAAATAATGAGCACTCTGTTGCGTCGAAAATCGCATTGCCGCCGAGAAAATGAATTGTGTCGCGGCGGCGGGAGAACACTTTCGGGCAACCAGTTTGCGGGCAAATTTTTTGCGAGCAGCCACTTTGCGGGCAGCCGACATTTGCGGGCAGCACCGGCATTTGCGGGCAGCCTGGGACATTTGCGGGCAGGGTCGACAGTTGCGGGCAGCCTGGAAGATTTGCGGGCAGCCGACATTTGCGGGCAAGCGACACCTGATTGTGAGGGTAACAGGGTGGAGGTGGAAAAATTACCATGATATTTTGGAACTTTGCCGACATTTGCGGGCAACCGGCATTTGAGGATAACAAGGTGGAGGTGGAAAAATTACTGCGATATTTTGGAAGTTTTCCGACATTTGCGGGCAGGCAATACTTGCGGGAAGCCGACATTTGCGGGCAACAGTTCCAAAAGTACCGATACAGTCTGTGTGATTGTTTTTTCCTGTTGCCCGCAAATGTCGGCGTCCCGCAAGTATTGCTTGCCCGCAAATGTCGGCAAATTTCCAAAATATCGAAGTAATATTTCCACCTCCACCCTGTTACCCTCAGGTGCCGGTTGCCCGCAAATGTCGGCTGCCCGCAAGTGTCTCAGCTGCCCGCAAATGTGACCCCCCAAATTTTGTCCGCAAAGTGGTTGCCCGCAAGTGTCGCGACGCCGTCGCGGCAAAATCATATTGCTTTCACTTCAGCGACGCGACTGGCGCAGCGACATTGTGCTCATTATTTTTCCGACAGACTGAAAGTCATTGCGTATTTTACCAACAAAAACAAGCAGGATTTTACAAGCGCTATTCTCTCAAACCATCCTCCGCACTTGGCCTCTTCTCTTGTCGCCAAAGGTTGCTGAATTTCTTGGCTGTCTCAGTGAAGCGCTAGCTAAACTTTTGAAAGATTCACACATTAATTAGTTGGGAATTGTAATCCGTATTTGACAAGGAAAGTACTTTTATGGGGGCTCCTACTTTTTGACGGGACATATCTCAAAAAATCAGAAAAAATGTGCTGATCAAGGATATATAAATCTTAGCTGCCCATTTTGGGTTTTTATGGGTGGAAATGCCCAAAAACTGGCTTAATTTCCTTACAAAAGGCGCAGCATTCGAAACGATAGAAAGCGCATTCGGTCTCTTCCTTCGGAAGAGAGCGGTGTGGCCTAGTGGTTAGTGCCGTAGTCGGGGAATCAAGAGGGGGAACGCCGCACGGGTTCGATTTCCCTTTTGGGCTGAATCAACTTTTTTGAAGTTAAAGGTCGGAAAAATAAATTTTTGGGTCAAGACTGGTTTATTACGTCTTAGAAACTCAATAAACATAATTTTAAGCCAAAATAAAAATTGTAAACCTGTGAAAAATTAATCGAAAAGGGGTTCATACAGGACTTTAAGTCAACTTCCGATTGAGTTTTCACCCCTAAAAACCTAAAATGGGCAGCTAGGATTTATATATCCTTGATCAGCACATTTTTTCTGATTTTTTGAGATATGTCCCGTCAAAAAGTAGGAGCCCCCATAAAAGTACTTTCCTTGTGAGATAAATCTGGGCTTCATTGTGTTTGGCATTAGCTATATCAACCAAAAATGGTCGACGAGTCGTATTTTACAAAAAACGAAAATTTTCCCTCTCCATAACAGATGAGAAGCCAAGTTCAAACAGTATGGGGCTAAGGTAGTACAACCCCCCAGTCCAGTTTAGCCCCCCATGACCCAGTACAACCCCCCTCGTCCGTTCTGAACCCCAAAATTTATTTCAAAGAATTAATCCAAGTTGCATGGTCCAGCACAAGCCCCCTACGTTTTAGATCAAACCCCCACTTACATTTTTTGTATTATTCTAATTTGTTCATTATGTTTGGGGTGTGAAACGGGCAAAACAGTGGGGGTTTGAACTACCTTTCGTGGGGGGCTGAACTACCGAAGCCCCAACAGTATTATTCCTACAGACGACACAAAATACCCAAGACGCAAAAAATTAACAGTCTGTCGGGAAAATAATGAGCGCTCTGTCGCGCCGAAAATCGCATCGCCGCCGAAAAAATGATTTTTTTCGCGACGAATCAAATTTCTTTTCACTTTAGCGACATGCTCATTATTTTCCCGACAGACTGGTAATATACCCAAAACACAAAAAAAAAGTTATAACGCCTACAACAAGGACACATCAAACCTCAAAAAGTAGAGAACGGAGATCTCAAAAAGGGAATGAAAACGATTTTAATCCGTCTGTTGACGACGCAACTGGCGGTTCTCGGAAATCACACATTAAACTTTTTTGGCTGTTTATACAGCTGAAACCCTTGGAAAAGAGTCTGAAAGAAGTCAAAATAAAAGTTGGGATTGCTAGAATTTTAATTAAAATGGCTGGAAATTACAAATTTACAGAGCACAACAAATTGCCACAATTTTAAAACATTTTTTATTGCTGGAATTGAACTTTTGAAACATAAATTTTATAAAAAGAAACATGACTATCGTGCTTTAACGTAATGTTAGAGTAGAGCTCCAACAAAAAATATTATTTTTTTTTATGAATTTTTGCCAAGACATAAATTGGGAAATTCAAAAAATTGTGGATATATAAATGCTTCCTGCCTAACTGTTGAGTGGTAAAATTCTTAAAAATTGGCCGAATTCTTCGATGAAACCCACAAAAACCATGAAAATGGCGGCCAATATCTTCCTGTAATGATAAGCGGTGTGGAGGAGAAAGTTGCCGAGTGGTTAGCTAGAAATCAAGAGTTGATGTCGTGCGGGTTCGGCTTTTCCTTCGCGAGTCACCTTGCACAAAGGAGGCTTATACGTTTAGTATGCTTATATTCTTATATTTACAAAAAAATTTCTCGTATATCAGTCTGTCGGGGAAATAGTGTGGATTTGCTGCAGCAAAATGTCTGTTGTCGTCGCGGTTGCGCACAAAATTTCTTTCTGGCGCAAATGGTCACTTGCACAGTGCGAAAACTGGCGACAAAACGTCTAATCACTTTTGAAATGGCGTAGTATTATAATAATTTGCTATACAGAGGCTTCCACTGTACCTAACACTATTTTTCAAACATGTTTTAAAAATTCGAAACTCGGTTTTTTGAACTGCATCTGTTCATTTCACCCCTCTAAAGGATCACTTTTCGGATCGCATTTTCAGCTCATTGTCCGATGATATTCAATTAGCGAATGTATCGGGCATCTCGCGAAACCCGTGCCCTGGGCCTTTGTGTTGCCTCAAATCCAATTATTGGGTCCTTTCTGGGACATGGCTTTCTTGGCCCAATTTGTATATTAATTCGCAATATAAATCATCTCACGAAGCGGTCGTGCTCGTGTATAAATTGCAAAGCGCAGTGTAACTGTAAGTTATTTTGGGGGGTTGAGGGTGTAATCGGTTAATTTTCCGTATATTTATGGGAGATTTCAGCGAGAAATAAAGTTGATTTTTCTATCATAAATATGAGAGAAAGTCCTTGCACTTTGTTCCTCAAAGTGCGACGCTCAGATTTTTATGAAACTTGAGATGTATCAGTCTGTCGGGAAAATAATGTGGATTTTTCGCAACGAAATTTATCATCCTATCGCAACTCCGCGCCAAATCTCGAGCTGAGGAAGCCGCATAAAAATGATGGGCGATTTCAAAGCGCAAAAAATCCACATTATTTTCCCGACAGACTAATAGTAAGATCAATAGGAAATACCTTGCTTGTGTCTTAAAAATAGAGATTTTTAGGTTGAAACTTCAAAAAAATGTGATACCTTTTGCCAATTTTAGGATCAAAAGTTCCATGTCTATTTCTACCGTAGAGAAGATTTTTCTACGAAAAATAATTGGAAAAAGTTCCTTATTTTGGCCACAACAAAGGTCTCCGCGAACTGCGCCCAAGCTTGGGCACTAAAGTTAGGAAAAACGCTTCGACCTAGCTGGCACTGAATTACCATAATAGCTCTATAGTTTTATGGGTACCTACGAAGGCGATGACGACTCTTTTAGTTCCACACGGATGCAATAAGTTTAGTTCCGGACATGTTTCATCGTATAAAGTGTAAAATCACAGACTGCAGCCGTTTTGAAGGGTAAAATGGTACGTAAAAAAGAAGGTACCTCACTAATTAAATCCACTGTCCGGGCATTGACAACGATGAATTGAGCGTGCACGCTAAATTTGGGTTAATTCCGACCAGTTTCCGCAAAGTTATAAGTTGTGGCCAAAATAAGGAACTTTTACCTTTAAATTAAAATTCACCAGTTCTTCAGATGATGTTCCTCTCATTCCTTGCTATTTTATCGAATTTGGCGACAGTCTCCAGTATTTTTCACGAGGATTTCTGTGATCCGGCAGTGTTTTTGGAGGAATTTGATGTGGAAGCGAATGTTTGTTGGATCCAAATGATCGGTCGAAGGGCTTTGAAGGAGCTCAAAATTGATGTTTTGCAGGTGAGGGTTACTGTAATTCTTGCAATTTTTGGTTTTTTAGCGATTTTTGAGAAATTTTTTTTTGGAATTTTTTGATTTTTTTGGATTTTCAGAAAAAATTCGGTAAAAAAGATATTTTAATTGTGTTTTGTGAGCTAGATTACTGTAATTTTTACGCTTTTTCATCGATTTTTTGGAAAAAAAATTTGAAATTGTTTTTGATTTTTTTTAAATTTCCAACAAAAAATCGGTAAAAAAAGCTCTCCTTAACACTGCTACCCCAATATATTTTTTCCAGAAAAAATTACAGTACTATTTTCAATAAACTTTATTTTTTTTTATTTTCAGGTCGGATTTTACATGGAGGATGTGGATTTGCTCGATCCCACCAGATCAAAATCAACGAATTTAATGGTCAATTATCGTAATATTACTCGGGACTTTGAATTCAACAATTTCCAATGGATCGAGCATGAAAAATCCGCAGTTATGCTCAAATATCAGGATAAATGTGAGATTTTGGAGGAAATTTTTTAGTTTTTGGGGAAAAAGTGGAAAATAGAGGCTGTCAATTATAGTAAAAAGCTATGTAAACTAGCCCTTGTACTTTTATTTGACTGATCATGGCCTTAAATTGAAGAAAACCCAGCGATTTTTAGATGGAAATTATAAATTTTTGGATTTTTCACAATTTTTTGGGAATTTTCTTTCAAAAATCGATTTTTGAAGCCAAAAAAAGCTATGAAGGCTGTCTTACAGTAAACTCAGAGGCTTTTCGGAGAATTTGAAACATTTATTACGCACCAAACCAAGGAAAAAATTGAGGTTTTTGAGCGAAAAATCGAAATTTTCCTATTTTTGATGACTTTTTTAGTTTTTCTTGCAGAAAATCGATTTTATGAATTGAAATTTTATGTCAGATGTATTTCACAGTAATCGTAGATGCCTTGTTCACAATTATACGGCATTTATAGCTCATATCTACTACACAATTTGAGGTTTTTGAGCAAAAACCCCAAAATTTTCCAATTTTTGATGACTTTTTTTTGTTTTTCTTCAAAAAAATCATTTTTTTCCGCTTTCCAGACCTAAAATTCCTCTTTGTCTATCGACACGATGGCCAAGTCCGCCAAGAACTCCATGTGGCCAAGAAGGCGTTCGACACTTTTGGCGTCTACGAGCTCACTTTGGCCAGATATTCCCCATTTCTTCAGCAAATTTTTGTCGTTTTCTTGGATAAAAATCGGAAAATCAGTGTGAGTTACAGTAACCCGAGGCCTAGGAAATGATATTTAATGGAAAATTCCGTATTTTAAGGCCGATTTTTAACAACATTGCGTATTTTAAAACCGATTTTTTACCTGAAAAGTTGATTTTTTCATCGAAAAACAGCTAAAGTACGGAATTTTTTGACCGATTTTACTTGAAAATTTCATTTTTTTCACTTTTTTTTTTCACTGACAAAATTTCGTATTTTTTGACCGATTTCTTCCCGGAAATTTGATTTTTTAGTTGAAAATTTACAAAATTTCGTATTTTAAGACCGATTTTTTACCAGGAAATTTTGATTTTTTAGTGGAAAATTTACAAAATTTCGTATTTTAAGACCGATTTTTTACCAGGAAATTTGATTTTTTCACCGAAAATTGACGAAATTCGGAATTTTAAGACCGATTTTTTACCCAGAAATTTTGATTTTTTCATCGAAAATTGGCAGAAATCCGGGATTTTTTGATCATTTTTTCTCGGAAATTTTGATTTTTTCATCGAAAATTGACAAAATTCGGAATTTTAAGACCGATTTTACTTGAAAATTTCATTTTTTTCACCGAAAATTGACAAAATGACGTATTTTTTGACCGATTTTTTACCAGGAAATTTGATTTTTTAGTGGAAAATTTACAAAATTTCGTATTTTAAGACAGATGTTTTACCCGGAAATTTGATTTTTTCATCGAAAATTGACAAAATTGCGTATTTTTTGACCGATTTTTTCCCGGAAGTTTGATTTTTTTAGTGGAAAATTTACAAAATTTCGTATTTTATGACCGATTTTTCCCCGGAAATTTTGATTTTTTCATCGAAAATTGGCAAAAATCCGGAATTTTTTGACCATTTTTTCCCCGGAAATTTGATTTTTTAGTGGAGACTTTACAAAATTGCGTATTTTTAGACCGATTTTTAACCTGAAGATTTGACTTTTCCATCGAAAATTGGCAAAAATCCGGAATTTTTTGACCATTTTTTCCCGGAAATTTAATTTTTTTCATCGAAAAATTTCGTTTATTTTTCAGATTCTCGAAAGATACCGTCTTATCACAACTGCCCGGGGATTTCTGGTCAAAAAACTGAAACGTCAATATTTGGGAAGGCATGTGACGGACTTGGCCGTCGATCGCCTGGCCAATGATTTGGTCGGACTGGTCCGACAACCCATTGGTCAGATGATTTTACGAGGCCAACTAGTGAATGACACTGTTTTGATGGAGAAGATCGCCGAAACTGGGGTCAATAGCCGATTGGTGGCGGTAAAGGAGGAGCATTTGTTGATGGTTGTGGACCATCCAAGGCATGGAGAGGAGGTGGTCATGTATAATATGGCCAGTAAGTTTTTTTGGGGTGCTTTGGGATTTTTGGATTTTGCACAGTGCAGTTTTTTTTTTTTTTTTTTTTTTTTGAACGCATTTTTCAGACATGACCTCCAGCAGTTGTCTGTATCGTATTGGTCGAGGGCTGGAACCGATTTTCAAGCGATTTTCGATTGTTTGTGAGGACAGAAACACTACCTTGGCTATTTGACTCATCTCATTCTGCAATCTATTTTATATTTATGTAATGTTTAGTGAAATAAAAAACAAAGAATCCTCATTATTTTCCCGACGCTCAAAAGCAAAAATCCAATTCTTTTTATTCGAATTTCTTTCAAATTACATTGTAATCATAAAAATGGCCAATAGAATTGCACCAACATCTCCTACAAAGTCCGAGGCAGCGTTTTGATAAAAATTTTGATATTTTAGGCCGTCTTGCACAAATTCTGGCTGTAGCTCTTCCTCCGTTTCACTGATCGACGGGAATTTAACCGGCTTGTAGGCGTCTAGAGGAAGAGGTTTCAAGGTGGACGTTGTTGGAGCAGTGGACTCGATAGGAGGCGACGTAGTGGTGGTAGTTCGCTGCAACATCAGCTCAAAGATTTTGTCTCCTGCTTTGGGCTGAGGCATCACTCCGCGGATCTCCTTTCCTCCGCTAAAAACAAATTTTTTTATTGCGGATTAAGTAAGAGACTTACATATCGTCTTTTGGCATGCCCCTCTCCATTAGTTTGGGGACCAGCGAAGCGACATCGGAGAAGTAAAAGACTTCGCTGAAAAACACAAATATATTGACTTCGACCTTATGTCCTTTTCAAACAATTCTACATTCCCCAAGATGACTAATACTATTTCAAACATTGTTTGTCGCTTTTCGCCAAGCTTCGTTTTGCGTCCCGCCGCGAAAACAAACAAATTCAGGATACGGTAGCTTCTTTTTGGCGTTTTTCTTCGCAAAGTTTTTGGTGTTGATTCCATGTAGAAATTGATGTTTTCGCAATATTGGTAAGTTTTTTCCGTTGGGGGTTTTTTAGATTTTTGTGCAAAAAATATTTGGGGATAATGCTTCCATCAAAATAAAAATATTCATCCCAAAAAGTAATAATTTTTGCCAAAACAGACCATCTTCATTTTTTACCAACTTTCACAAAATGAAATCACTGCTGTTTCTGAAAAGCGCGAGCTAATTTATGCCAAACTTACAAGGGAAGTACTTGAAGTGTGACGCTCAGATTTTGATGAAACTTGGCACAAATTTAGAATAATTTTTTCTAAGATATATGCGGGAATCCTAGCTCGCGCTTTGCAGAAACAACCGAGATTTTTAGATCGAAAGTCGGCGAAAATTTGGGACTTTTTGCCGAATTTCGGCACGAAAAGTTTCATGCCTATTTCAACCGTAAAGAATAATGTTTCTACAAAAAATCAAAATTTTCCGCACGAAACTGCCAAAGTTATGGGCAAAAAGCGGTTTTCTCTCTGACCGCTCTCCACGTTGAGCGTGCTCTCTCGGCGGCAAAAATCGTTCAATATCTCGGCGGCGCCCGCAAAGCGCGAGCTAAAACTTTCAGGAATTGATATTTAGTCCATACCCGATGTGTGTGCAAAATTTAAAGAAAATCTGAGCGTCACACTTGAAGTACTTCCCCTGTTAGTCAAAATCGGAGCGCCAAGCTTCGAGAATTTCCGGTGTCAAAAAAGCCCCATGGTTTGATGCCCAAAATCCCCCAAAATCGCAAATCCCTTACTTTTCTGGCATGTGGATGTGATGGAATCGATAAATTGGGACAAAATCGTTGAGCGCCGGCTTCCATCGCTGCTCCATGATGAAATCGCCCATTCGCAAGACGGACGGATACGGGGTGTAGTGAATAGTGCCATCTCTGGGATCAATTGCGCAGTATCTGTTTTTATCTCCCTGAAATTATCGTATAAGTCCATAGAAATTTCTAGGAAAGGAAATAACAAAGTTTTTGCAAACTTACAAAGCACTTCTTCGTGATAAGGTCCACAAAATTGTTGGGAATTTCCTCGTTCGGAATCGCGGAGACAAGCTCCACTCCGTAGCTGGAAAAAAATCAAGTTTATAGAAATTTTTCATCTTCAAATTATTCCAAATCGTTTTCCGCACCCACCTCCAATAGTCTTCATCAAGCCGGCCCCAACGGGTGGTGTGCCTTAAGCGAAATTTGTAGCTTTCCTCCGGGTCGAAGTTCATGTATCTATTCAACTCAACGGCATGGGTGGCGTTGAGGAAGAGCCATTTGTTGTAGATGATTGAATGTTTCACGTCGTCGTCACGGACTTTCTCGCGCTGAAAATACCACAACAAATGTACTCTAGAAGCTGCGCCCAAGCTTGCTAACAAACAAGCTTTTTTATTGGTAAAAACTTGGTCAAAAAGGCATTTGTGTAGTGTGTAAAAGTTCATATGATTTTTTCACCCTTACAAACCAAAATTAGGCAGCTAATTTTTACATATTCTGAATCAGAAAAATTTTGCGAATTTTTTGATATGTCTCGACCTGTAACTCCATATCCCATTGAAGTACTTTCCTTGTAAGTTACCATACATCTAAAGACCATCTAATTTGGTTCCCATACGGAAGCAATAACTTCAATCTAGGACGGATTTTATCGTATAAAACGAGACCGCAGTCTGCAGCGGTTTAAGGTAAAAAACAATACGTATCAACCTATGTTTGAGTAAAAACGACACCTACTTTTATGAAATCGCTCATGACCCGGAACACTTTGTGTCCATGTGTGTCTTCAGCCAAATGCTTTCCCGGCTCGTAAAACCTGATGACTTCGGCTCGGTCGGAACTGAACTCCACAAACATTTTGTTGTCGGCGCCTGGGATCGGATGGCGGCATACGACCCGGGGAAACCATGAGGTGTCCCAATCATCTCCTAACGTCGTATGCTCCGTGGCTTTTCGGTTCTTGGCTGAAAAGAATAAAAATTCGCTTTTCGGACTTACATTGGACGAATTCAAAATTGGCAAATTGACGTGTAATCCTGAAAAGAGGAATGCTCGGAAAAAATGATTTAAATGTTTGTGGAATGTGTCCAAGTGAAAAACCCCATAAAAATCATACCATACGAATTCGATCGCGTAGTCCTGGAAACTGTCCACATCAAGCTCATGGCAAATCATGTTTTCCTCGCATGTGTCTTTCAAAAAAGACTTCATATCGTCATTGTATGAGACGGAGACCTGCCAGAGAAGTAGAGAAACGACCGTACGGAAAGTCATCATGCGCAAAAACTGACGAAAATGGAAAGATGAAACAATCTATTTGATGGAAATTTCTCAAGGTTTGCACTTCTTACGAAATTTGCATAATCGAAGTTTGAGCCACACATATGACCTCTATGAGATAAAATTCAGGTGGAGGGGGGATTTTTTGGTATAGGTTCCTTATTCTGGCCACATCGTATATATTTAACTTCGCGCAAAAATAGTCAGCATCGGCCAAATTTGGAATGCAGGTTTAGCTCACCATTCTAAACGCAAGAACATTGGATTTGCTTAGTTCGGTTCCTCTTGGGTACGGGCTCACCCTTAAAAAAAGGCTGTAGACGGCGGTGTCGGTTTGTCGTTGTTCGGACGTTTCCGCCATTGTCCTTTCACTGTCAGAGTCCAAAAAAATTGTTGCGACTTGAAAATTGGAACAAGTTTTTATTTCTTCTGCTTCGCCACCTGGTAAAGAATATTGTGTATTCATTACGCATTATAATACGTGAGCAAAATCAAGTAAGAGAAAGCTTAAAGAAACTCTAATATCAAAATTTGTAAGGTACGATTATGTTTCAGCTGATGGAAACAAGTTTTTACGAAAGTACCCCGTCTTAAACCGGAACCATCATACACAACATTAAGTATTAATGTCTGAAAACTTGAGAGAATATAGTTTTACCGGGTTTTTCATATATCAGTGTTGAGTCCTTGCTATACATTAGAACATTTACGTAGTAATAAGACACAGTTTTGCATCCTTTTTTCAAATAATTATAATTTTATAGAGTAGGAGACTAAATAATGTACAAACCACATATTAATATTCAAAAAATCCAATAACACCATTTTTGCCACAATTTCTATTACGGTAAAAGCGTCGTACAAGACTTAAAAATTACGGTTTTCATTATTTGGCTTATTGAAATTTCAATTACGAGGCTGTTGTCATGCAATCTGAAAAGAAATTACGATCCATACAATGTGTATCAACCTCTCATTTTGCCAATCCATGAGAGCTTACGTAGGTTGAGTTTATAGGAACATATACTATATATCATAGTATATCAGTATTATATATAAATCTGTTACGCCATACCAAGACGATCATAGTACTATATTTATTAATATAGTTATGTAATGCTTGCCCTTCTAAGGTCACGAGTTAATCACTTATTGGCTCGTAAATGGCTGGAGCATCCCCAGAAAATCTGGCAATCCAGCCAGGGAGCTCGGCCTGAAAGAGTAGGAGGGGTTGGCCTACCGCGAAGGGGGCCTCCTTATGGATAGCCAATTGGCTGTTGGAGACTACATAGGACCCCACCGAGTCGGTGACGGTGATATGGGTCTCTGTGTAAGTCATCACGGTGCCAAGGATGACATTCACCCTCGGCGTCGACAAAGCGTTAGTCTGATGGCTGTCGCCCGAACGATGGGGAGGCCTTCGACTTGATAGCTTTGCGGGCCAAGGTCGGCTACGCTGTGGATCCTAAAAGGACTCCCAACGGGGATTCGTAGCGGGCGTCATCGAGGGGAGTTTAAATTTTAACTTCGCTTGGCAGCGTAATATCTACTTTGTATTCGTTATGAGCTCCTGTTGGGCTTCATCCGAAAGGTTCCTACTTTTGATTATCTGAGTAGCCAGACTATTAATAGATTTTACTATTACGATTTGATTCGAACTAATCTGAGCAATGTCCCTGCGTAAGGAGGACTCAAGTGCCCTAGCTTTGGAATTACGGAATTTATGATTGTTGGATTTTAATGTGGCCGTTGTTCAGGTTGTTCTGTAAAGACAGGCTCAGATGGCTCATTAGTTTTAATCTGTAGGCCAAGATGGTCTACGTTTTACGATAAAGATTCCTAGAGAATGACTAAATTTTTCTTTTTTTATAATTTTGTATTTTTATTGAATTTTTATTTGATTTTCTTAGATTTTGTAATATATAAGTATATACTATAAAAATGTTATACTACATGTTATGTACAACTAACGAAAAGTTACAAGAAAAGAAAGAAAAGGGAACTAAAGAGAGAAAAATAAAACACGAAATAACACACGAAAAAGAAAGTTAATAACTGCAGCCGAAAATTATCCACGTATAATGCGCGCAATATTATATGAGTCTAAGAATCTGATGACAATAATAACTTCAAATGAAATTAACCAAATCGACAGACGCATTGTATGCGGCTGATCAGGAGATCGCGGGCAAAAGGTAGTGAGTTGTGGCGCAAGAACCGTTGGCTAGAACGGTTGATAAGATAAGTCGGTACCGGACTTTTCTCACCGAAGTTGATAGCGGCGATATGCATACGAAACGAGACTGGTCTCGGTCGCATCGAGACGGTCGTAAGGATAAAAAAACGAAAGGAATCGTTTTTTATCTTAATTTTGATTACGATGACCTCGATTATTAGTTGCGACAATTACGCGACTCGCTGCTACCAGTAAAATATTTTGCTATGCTCACTATTTGTCGTCAAAAGGAAGGTGATTACGATCCAACAGGAAAGATTGGTGCTTTTAAAAAAATGTAGATATAAAGGAAGAAAAAACTTGGGACGAACTGTCATGTCGCTTTTGATGATACGATTCCGGGTCAGTATATTGTCACCACCCACTTCTAGTGGTGTTACGATGGACTCACCCACGTCCTAATGAGGAAACGGTATCACCGTCTTCCACAGCCCGGTTCCCCGCATCCCCAACAACTTATGGAACAACCTTATATGTCATGGTGTTTTTATTGCCTTCAAAATGAGACAGCCATGTTCACTCCCATTCCAACCTCTTTCCGATTTACGGATCGCAAGCCCTTTTATACCGAAGTTCGTTGCGCAACCAACAACGCCAACCTCGCAAAACCGAGGAGGCACGTTGGCCGCGACAATATGGAACGGAGCTTTTACGAATGTACCCCATCTTAAATCGGAACCGCACTTTCTTATGCATGCTGGTGGAAGTACCAATATGAGGTTACGTTATGAAATCTGATGTCCTTCAATTTCTTGTCATGCCTGCGAATATAAGTTCTTCTTGGCTTTCAGTCTGACAATCCTTCCACGCTATGCCTAAACAATTTACGTAGTAATAACACACAGTTTTTCCTCCTTCTTCGCAAAGCAATAACATCTGTCTCCAGAATTTTTCCATTGTATATACAAGATGTATTAATGTTCATAAAATCGTGGCAAACCATTTTGCCACAAGCTTCATTACGTCGCAATCGAAGGGTTTCATACATTTAAATACTGCTGTTTTGCAGTAAAAAGTAATGTACTTATTACGTCAAACTTCTTCCAGTTCGATGAAATTGTTATTTTCTGAGACTGCAAGCCTTAATTGTTCCGCGTCGGACGATCAGGTTATTCCTTGTGTTTGCTAGCTTACGATTTAAGCAGATTTACCGAAGAGCCCTGTCCATGCAACAGGGTTTCAGCGGTTGCTGTCTCCTAGGCACAAATTTTGCGATATCAGTTCCGAAATCACTGCCAGTGCCTAAAAAAATTTTACTGTGACGATTACGCCACTCGCTGCTACCAGTTAAATGTAGATGGTTTTCCCACCATTTGTCGTTTAAACAATCAAATTACGTGGCCAACGTTGTGTTTTTAAAACTGCAAAAAGGAACTTACGATCTAGATTAGAGAAATTTTTGCTCCGATTTCTCGGGACAAAGTTGTACGAAGTCAGGGAAGGATTTTTGCCCCTCCCAACGCGATGGGCCAACCAATGGTCGATTTCCATTACGGCATGTTATACCACGAACCTGTTGTTGAATTGGTTTGAGGCCATTGGACCTCAAATTATATACGTACATTGCAAGGTTTTCATAATGAAATTACGTCTATCATCGAACAGTTCTGTCCGAAACAAAAAGGACGGATTTGCCCACAGAGAACGGCGCGTTCTGTTTACGGCCAGCTGTCTGTTTGACAAAACGTAACGTCCTACGTGGTCTGACACTGTAATATGATGTTTGCAGAATGAGGCGAAGCTCGCTAGAAGGAGATCAACATTTGCAGTGAGACTTACAAGTCGTTTTTACGGGTTCTTACAGACAAATAAAACCATAATACAACATAATGATTATATATAAATATTAATTTACGACTTAATGCTGATTCCGAGAGGGATCGCACCTTAATGCTGATCCCGAGAGGGATCTCTTGGGATCGCACCGAAGGCGGGGGTGGGCTCTTACACTAGCCATAGGTTTTTAGCCTTAATCAACTAATTATTTATTGTTGTTAAATACGACAGTAAATAACCGGGGCGGAACAACGCGACTCGCTGCTACTAAATCTTTCTTTACTAGGGACTTATCGTCTTCGAGTATTTTATAATTTACGGGATCTTGTCTATTTTAATTCTTATTGCGGACATGGTCACCTTCCCATGTTCGAGACCGCCGGTAGTGGCAAATTCTGCCTATGCTCTTTCTTAATGGTGACTTTTTTAGTCAAAATAGTAAAAAAAATTACGTCTATTGTCTCCGATAAACGTTTTTCATTTAGCTGAAAAGAATCAGAAACCAAAAGTGACCAGTTAGCCTAACCTGGTCACTTGACGGGTATAACATTTAATTGCTACGTTGAGAGCTCAATGTTTATTTATTGGCCTTATAATTACAACTACAACATTAAATAACAAATATTCAATTACGTTTACTGTTATATATTATATTATTAATAACATCTCGTCGCGACCTCTCTCTGACTTGCTTCGCCCTCGGCTCTTCGCCGGGGCGCTTATCAGTCCCCTTTACTCCACGAAAAGCAAGTTACGACCGCTATGTAAATTGAAATTTACGTCATATTGGTGAGTGGCGTATATATCGGTATTATATGTGTAGTGGCTCAATACCAGACAAGGTCGGAATGATGATGTTTATTACTGAACAATCCGGTTATTTATACTCATATTTTATCCTATCACTGAGGGGATGGGCAGATACTGATTCATGTCGTATGCGATCTGTATACGACTTTAGTGTAATATGCATTATAAAAAAATGTATATATAGATATTATATGCCAAACCAACATGATCATTGTATTATATTTCTTATATGATTAATATATATAACAGATATATGTGCACATAAAGTGCAAAATAAAACGATCAATATAAAAATATAGTATAATCAAATTTTACTATAACGCGCCTTCCGAAAAGTATGTAAATTAAAAAAGTATGTGAGCAATAAAACAAGTTCGTAACAAAACTAAATATATTTTTTCTGCTCTTTGAAGACTAAAAAATCAAAAACAATTTGACGCAGAGAATTCCTGTTGCGCAAGGCCGAAGAAAGCTCGCGCCAAAAGCTTGGCAGAAAATTTTTGTTACATCAAAACCGAAATAGATCCTTCGATTATGACTCACGGTTTTAATCACAGAAAAATCTCAGTACAGCAATACAGAAATAAAGGAATTTCAAACGACAACGCTTTTTGCTGTCCGCAAAGTTTCCTACCAAAGCATCCAAAACTGAAAATTAGTCACATTTTTTAAATACGCGAATTTTCATAATTTCAAATCGAGTATGTTTTTGAATTTTTGATTGTTAAATTGAAAAGTTTTTATAAACCTTTGCCAAAAAGCAAAAAACTTTAGTTTTTAAATCTTGTTGCACAACTAGTTGCAGTTGATGTTAAGGGTTGTAACAATAGCCTATGGTAAATATGTCTTAAAGCTATGTATTTTCAGAACACTCACTTTGGTCAACACGATTGTTATTTAACGAATCTTGACGTCAAAAAGAAATGAAAATGGACGAGCTTTTCACTGTCCGCATTCAGTCTTTTCGCTGTTCGCAAATCGACTTCTCACTGTCCGCAATTGAGAATTTTTTTCTGTCCGCACTTCTACTGTCCGCAAATAAAATTTTTGATGTCCGCATTCAAAACAACTTGTTCTAAGCACCTGGCAAGGCCTTTTTTTTATACTTCTGACTGCCACATTACACTTGACATCAATATTATTCAAAATTCGGGATGTGATGTTGCACTTGATACCAATAATATTCAAAGTTAGGGCTGTGATTTTGCAGTGGGTATCAATATTATTTAAAATTAGGGTTGCCATATTGCACTTGATATCAATAATATTCAAAATTGGGGGTGTGATCTTGCATACTACTGGAATGTGATTTACAGGATTTTTAGAGCATGTCTGGTAATTTTTGGGGCCAGTGGTGCCCCTCTATTTTTTTAAAAAAATTTTTTTATTTGCGGACAGTGAGAATCTCCATGACTTTTGGAGTCTGTCAAATTGCGGACAACAAAAAATAGTTCCAATGAAAATTTTAAATTAATAACTCTACAAGCCGTAAACTCTAATTCTAATTCAAGGAAATTACCGGAGCTTGCGAATAAACTGGTTTTATAAGCTAAAAAATTGAAATATTTGAAATACTACGCTGAAAACATCATTCCGCCCTATAAAAACTTACTAATGCATGTTTTGAAAATATTTCCAAGCTGCGCCCGATGTTTTATTTTAACGCATTTATAGATCTATTTCGCCTAGATAAAAAAATACGATTTTTTTTTTTATTTTTTTCTAGCTTCCTCAAAAACACCAAGAAAAAAAATAATTTTATTTTCAACAAAACAAAAAAAAATAACAAAAAACGATAATAAAATGGGAAAATATTATGAGTATATATGTGAGGGAATACGGAGGAAATGATAGGCAATGGTTGAATAAGTCGCTTTGGAGTCCAGTGCATCTGATTTTTTCTAAAATACGATTTTTTACTAAAAAAACTCGACTTTTACCTAAAACAATATTTTAAAAAAAGTAAAAAAATTCTCCAAATCCCAAAAAAATTCAAAACCAACTCACTTTCTCTCTATGGCAGGAACAAATGCACCGCAATGCAGAGTGCAATCACTGCGTAGGACACCATTGATCCAATTACGAGGCGATTCATGGCTTCCGAGGCCTGGAATTCCCTTTGGTATTCTTCGATTTGCTCGGCGGTGATCATGGGCATGACGGCGCGGCGTTCCAGTCGAAACAGGGTCCGATTCAACTGTTTGGCGAACCAATTTTCGGTGTGGAGTTGGCGGCGGAGGACCGACAAATCAGTGGAGCCGTTCCAATCGCAGGTCGGGTGGGTGTAAATTCCATTGATAATGTACTCACAGACGTAGGAAGTCTGCTGAAAATAAAAGTTTTAAAAGAGAAATGGGCAAAGAAAAGAATTTAGTGATAAGATTTTCTTTTCCAGCATACCACAAAAAAAAATATTTTTTCCAAGCTGCGCCCGAGCTTTGACTTGAAACCCATTTTCTAACTTATACTAATGCTTTTAATAACTTCTCAAGCCGTTGTCCAGACAAAAATGGACCAAACTTTGACTCTCCGGCGTATAAAAAAAATATTTTTTTTTCCAAGCTGCGCCCGAGCTTTGACTTGAAACCCACTTTCTAGCTAAAATTAATATTTTCCATGCCTTCTGAAGTCCTGATTCAAGCAAGAATCGACCAAACTTTCACTCTCCGGCGTATTAAAAAAATAATTTTTTTTCCAAGCTGCGCCCGAGCTTTGACTTGAAACCCATTTTTAACTTATGCTAATGTTTTTAATTACTTCTCAAGCCGTTGTCCAGACAAAAATGGACCAAACTTTCACTCTCCGGCGTATTATAAAAAATATTTTTTTCCAAGCTGCGCCCGAGCTTTGACTTGAAACCCACTTGCTAGCTAAAATTAATATTTTCCATGCCTTCTAAAGTCCTGATTCAAGAAAGAATAGACCAAACTTTCACTCTGCGGCGTAATACAAAAAATATTTTTTTCCAAGCTGCGCCCGAGCTTTGACTTGAAACCTATTTTTTAACTTATACTAATGCTTTTAATAACTTCTCAAGCCGTTGTCCAGACAAAAATGGACCAAACTTTCACTCTCCGGCATATTATAAAAAATATTTTTTTTTCCAAGCTGCGCCCGAGTTTTGACTTGAAACCCACTTTCTAGCTAAAATTAATATTTTCCATGCCTTCTGAAGTCCTGATTCAAACAAAAATCGATCAAACTTTCACTCTCCGGGGTAATACAAAAAATATATTTTTCCAACCTGCGCCCGAGCTTTCACTTGAAACCCCTTTTCTAGCTAATATTCGTGTTTTTAATTCCTTCTGAAGTCCTGATTCAAAGAAGAATCAACCAAAATTTCATTCTCCGGCCTACCACAAAAAAATATTTTTCCCAACCTGCGCCCGAGCTTTTACTTTTAACTCCTTTTTTTTAAAAAAATACGGGTTTTCATTCCTTCTGAAGTCCTGATTCAAACAAGAAACGACCAAACTTTCATTCTGCGGCGTAATACAAAAATATATTTTTTCCAACCTGCGCCCGAGCTTTTACTTTTCACTCCTTTTTTTGCTAAAACACGGGTTTTCATTCCTTCTGAAGTCTTCGCTCAAAGCAAAATGGACCAAATTTTCATTCTCCGGCCTACCACAAAAAAAATATTTTTCCCAACCTGCGCCCGAGCTTTGACTTGGAACCCGCTTTCTAGCTAATAATAGGGTTTTTCAATCCTTCTGAAGTCCTCGTTTAAACAAAATTGACCAAACTTTTACTCCCAGCGTATATTAAAAAAAATATTTTTCCCAAGCTGCGCCCGAGCCTTTGATTAAAACCTAGATTTTACTTTGCCCTAATGTTTTTTACCCCTTATAAAGTCTCCGCGAAAAATGGAAAATGCCAAAATTAATCAAAATTTTAAACCTCCAAAAAAATCCTACAGCTGTAGGATTTTTTTGGCCGTGTACAGTAATCCAAAAAAATAAATTTCTAAAAAAATAAAAAGATAAAAATCAATTTCAAATACACACCTCAACCGCAGCTTTGGCGCTGTTTCTGTTCGGACGGAATTGCAAAAAGTCCTCTTTGTTTTCAGGCAATTCGAAGCGTCTCAACAATGGCCATGCGGCCTGGAGAAGAGCCGCCGATCTCCATTCGTCCACCGTAATATCGGGTGGGGAGAGGCGGTGGGAGCAAAAATCGGCCTTTCCACGGCCCGTCAAGTCGATCTGAAGTCAAGAAAAAGATTATTTTGGATGTAATGGTACCTAAAATTACAAGTATAATATAAAAATTCATACCAAATGAGGTCGATTGGCGGTTCGGTCCACAACAACGCCCATTTCGAGGAGATCAAAGGTCCGATTGTAGGTGGAACGATCAAAAAATTCGTCGAGGTCCTTGGAGCAAATCTCAACAGAGCCAATTTCGAGGGAACCGGGTCTGAAAATGAAAGTAAAGTATGCTAAAACTGATTTAAAACACCAGACTCCCTATTATAAGTATCTTTGGCCCATAAATCTGGAGAAATTTTGATATTTTCGGAGCTCAAACTGCCATGGTGAATATAATCGAGAATAATCAAATCCAAGCCAACATTCGCCCCATAACTTGCTCAACCCTTCCTGACATCATATAGCGTCTATAACTCACCGTTTGCCCGCATTGACTACTGTGCAATTGTCCTTTCGGTCGCATTTCCCATCACCAAGGAAGTTGACGCAAAATTCGAAAATCTGAAAAAGAACACTAATCCAAACACCGTAAATTTCCGCCATAACACTATGTAGCTCATATCGCATCTGTAGTACCTAAAAGCCAACAAAAAATCCTAAAAAAACTTACCCTTCCCGCCTCGCAATCGGATATTATAGTAGTCCGACCAATCAGATGTTCCATGGAGGTGGTTCGGGACAACAGCAGCAGAACAGTGTCTCCCCAGACAATATTGGTGCAAGAGTCAATGGCTGAGAGCAAGGAGAAGACGTCTTGACTGCCCAGCTTGAGTTCCGAAAACCATCTCCAGTTGAACTCGAGGACTTCGGAAGTGTACGTTCTGGTGGGACCATGCGACAAAAACATCGGGAATTTTTGGTTGTTTGTGCGAACTGAGGTGGGATGGACCTGGAAATACGCAAAACTTTCATTTAATACATTATGTCAAAGGTGATAAAAACAATATTACACTTGATACCTAAACCATTAATTAAATTACCGTTTGAACAATAAAAACGTAACCCTATGTTCTAACATTCTCTTTAGAGATCGAAGAGTAAATTTTACAAAATTTTCAAACCAAAAATCCCACAAATTTTCGATCTTTCTCGGGCCTGATACCTACTATAACAAAAAATGGTCCTGAAACACGAAAGCGGCACGCTAAAGGAAAGAAATACACTTAAAAAGTAAGAAGATATACTAATCTTCGATTTCAACCCAAAAGGAAACAACTATCTCCTTCTTATTGCATCGTTCTTACTCAATCCCCATCTGAGGTCAAGTGCAATATAATTTTCTCAACAAACCGTCAATCTCTACCGCAATCTTTTAAGTAAAGACATAACACGGCCCCTACAACGTTCTAATCAAACTTATTCCCCATTCTTCACCCAAAAACCATCAATTCTCCTAAATTTCAATCCGACCTCAAGTACAATATAAAATCTCACCTCTTTGTGGCTTTCGCAGAAAGTATCCGCCGCATTGAGCCCCGCAACGGCTAGAAAGACGGTAAATTGGAGCCAAGCCATGTGTCAGTATCTGAAATCGGCCAGGAAACAATAAATTTATTGTCAAAAAAATCGGAACTCGAATCACGAGAATTTCGTGGCCGGATCGTGATTTCCATTAGATTATGGCCATCTGATAACGGAAATGGTATTTCCGAGCTATGGAACAGCTGGAAAACTGTGAACTTTGAGACAGAAAAACCCCAAACAAATTTTCGACAAATTTTTTGGAAGCTTCCAGAAATTCTGTCAGCAATGACTGATTTTTAGGATGTTAGGTCTCGATTTAGGGTCAATCGAGGTAAAATAAAATTTCTTGTTTGTTTATGGTCATGATAAGCGAGAATTTTTAAGAATTTGTGGCAAAAAATAAAAAATTTTAGGGATCCGGCGCATTCGACCTTATTTTAGGTAAAAATATTCAAAATCGATCAATTTTTAGTCGAATTTTGATGAATACGAATACGTAATGGGTCGTAAATTTAGTATAATGTAACCTTCTGGCGTTTCGTAGCATTCTAATATCTGTTTTATCTAGAAAATCGCTGAAATTCACCATTTTTAGGTAAAATTTCGTTTTTTCTTGCCAAGAACAGCTCTCCAGTTTTGAAAAATGATCAATGATGATTGCCAAATATCCTCAGAATACTAAATAAGTCAAATAGTAGTCAAAAATTCCAAAAATTTATATCCAAAATCCTAGATTTCCCCAATCTCCCCTATTTTCCACCTGCCGTCCCAAATTCCCAAAACAAAAGCTTCCCGGAACTCCACCCCCACAGCGCGGCCATTCGCCGTGGCCTTTCCGATTTTTGTAATGGGCCGAGACGCGGATCGGAGGGGTATTGTTTTAAGTTTGGGGCATTCACTCATTTTTCGGCGGCCAAAAAGTTTTAAAAACCCCGAAATTGGATTCCAATTCTCGTGGGATTCTGAAGCCCGTGCCGAGTGCCATTCTGAATGGCCACAGATTTTTGCGTCCCATCAATTTAATTGTCGGAACGGCTATTTATTTTTTTGAGGTTTAATTGAGGGATTGGCAAATTTGCACTGTGCGGTGGGAAAAAATGTTGCACAGTACGGGTTTTGATGGGGTATTCGATATGAAAATGATACGATCGGACGTTTTATAGTGCGAGAATCATATTTAGCTATTATTTTCAGTTGTTATTTCATTCTACTAAATTTTACACAAAAAAATTTAATTTTGCACTGTGCGGTCGAAAATAATTTTGCACAGCGCGGTTTTTGATGGGGTATTCGATATAAAAATGATACGAGCGGACGTTTTATAGTGCAAATATCATATTGAGTTATTATTTTTGGTTATTATTTCATTCTAGGAAATTTTACATCAAAAAAATTAATTTTGCACTGTGCGGTGGAAAAAAATTTTCACAGTGCAGTTTTTGATGGGGTATTAGATATAAAAATGATACGAGCGGACGTTTTACAGTCCAAAAATCACATTGAGCTATTATTTTTGGTTATTATTTTCTTCTAGCAAATTTTAGAGCGAAAACGTAATTTTGCACTGTGCGGTGGAAAAAATTTTTGCACAGTGCAGTTTTTTATGGGGTATTCGATATAAAAATCATACGAGCGGACGTTTTATAGTCCAAAAATCAAACTGAGCTATTATTTTTGATTATTATTTTCTTCTATCAAATTTTATACCAAAAAATTAATTTTGCACTGTGCGGTGGAAAAAATTTTTGCACAGTGCAGTTTTTTATGGGGTATTCGATATGAAAATGATACGAGCGGATGTTTTATAGTCCAAAAATCAAATTGAGGTATTATTTTCGGTTACTGATTTTTTCGAGGAAGTTTTAGACCAAGGAAATTAGTTTTGCACTGTGCGATGAAAATTCGACTGCACAGTGCGGTGTCAAAATAGAAATTTGTCGAAAAATTTGGTGTCAGTATAGAAAATGGACGCCATTTTTTCGGTTAGACTATGTTTTGCTCACTTTTTTGCACTAGCATAGCGTACAGTGCAAAAAAATTTTGACTGCACTGTGCAAATTTTGAAAAATCGGATTTTTCTCAAAAATTATAGCAATTTTAGATAAAATAACGTTTATTAACTCTCTAACAGCAACTGTAAAGCGGTAAAAATACAATACTACAAGGAAACAACAAAAAAATTTTTTACACAAATTCAAATATTTCCATTGGAATGGTAATAAAATTGATCTAGGATCTCGCGGCCAAACTCTTCCACATCCTTGACTTTGATCTGAACGAGACGAAGGTATTTTGTACAGCGAATTTGAATCAAATCCAGGTCAAGTTGGGACTGGAAAACTTGTAACATCTGATCGAAAGTGAACGCATTTCTCCAACGTAAATGCCGTGAAAACGAGCAAATTGCGGCGAGGTGGACAACATAGGCCAAGTCGAAGGTACCCTGAAATAAATGGCAATTTATATTCAATATTTTTTGATATTTTTTTTACATTTTTTTAGACTCCGCACTGTGCAAAAAAAAGAAAATTTTCAATTGCACGGTGCGGAAGGATTTTTGCGATTTTTTTCGTACTGTGCAGGGAAATTAATTTTTTTTTCTTTTGTGGATAAAATTTCAGGCCCTATTTTATAGAGATTTTCAAAAAAAAATTTTTAAATCACTGCACGGTGCAGGATTTTCTAATTTTTGATATTGCACTGTGCGAAATAAAATTGACTTCTGCACTGTGCAAAGGAAAGTCAAAATAAGTGACAAAAGTGAAAAATGGTCTTCTTAGTCACTAATATACTCAGTATTTACCACTGTTTAAAATAATTTTTTCTCATAGTGCTTTTTTAAAAAAAAATTTCTCTGCACTGTGCGGGAAAATTTTTTCATTTTCCGCACAGTGCGAGACAATTTATTGGAAATTTTTTTGCAACACAGATAAAATTTACTGTCAAAAATTGCTATTCAAGTTTCTTTTAGCCCTAAAAAAATTTCTGCACGGTGCAATTTTGCCAAAATCTTTCATTGCACGGTGCAAAACCAAAAATTTTGGATACTGCACGGTGCAAAAATCAACATTCCCAAAAAAAATTGTGCAGTCAATTGTTGGTAAAAAAATCTCTGACACATACAAAAATTACTGTCAAAAATTGTTATTCAAATTGTTTTCAGCCCTCAAAAATTTTCTGCACAGTGCAATTTTGACAAAATTTTCCGCTGCACCGTGCAAAAACCAATTACAAAAAAATCATAAAAATAAAAAACTAAATAAAAAAATCAATGTTTACCTGATAATTAGTGATCATCCTGTCGAACGGGAACATTGTAAAAGCAGTAGTGAGCTCTTCAAAAAGCGGGATCAACATTTCAACGGCTCCCATTCCTTGGGAAAATCGAATACCATAGAAATCCTCATTTGGAATGTAGTGGAAAGTCTCTGGAAATTGCTCAAAATGACTTCGAATCGCAGCGTAGAGATGGTTTGGGATCAACACATCAAATTGTTCGAAGAGAATTTCTTCTTTCGATTTTGCGCGGATTACGGTGGAAATGGCCTGGAAATTAAAAATTAGAGATAAAAAGTGGAAAAAATACTTTTAGGAGTAGTAAAAAAGATCATTCTACAAAAAAAATATTTTTTTTTTTTTTTTTATTTTCCGAAAAAAATCTCAAAACTTTCAAAAAAAAGTGAAAAAAACGAAGAATTTGATGTATAAAATGAGATAGAAAATGTTAAAAAATACTTTTAGGAGTATTAGGAAAAAGGCTTTTTCAAATATTTTACAAAAAAAAAAAATCCGAATCAAAATCTCAAAATTTTCAAAAAAAAAGTAAAAAATCAACCTCACCTCTTCAGAATCGCCCAAATCCTTGACTGGACTCCAAGATTTCCCACGCAATGGCCATTTCACAGGGCTCTTGATCAAATTTGAAGCTTTTTTGGCAAACCGGAAAAGCCTAGAAGAAGTCGTCGATAAACCGGAAGAAGTCGATGAACAAGAAGAAATGGAAGAGGACGTCGATGAGGAGGGAATTACCAAGCTCATTCTGGATCTAAAAAAGCCAAAAAAGTTATTTTGAACTTTTTCTTTTTGAATGCACGGTGCGGATTATGAAAATTGAAAAGCGCACAGTGCGATGAAAAAATAAAAATTCGAAAAATAAATAAAATTTTGTCTAAAACCACCTGGTACTATATAGTACCACGTGTTTTGGGCTCTACTAAGCACCAAACCATCACCATTACTGCCTCATGACCAAATTTTCACTTCTCACAAAACAGTACCAGTTGGTACTATATAGTACCAAGTGTAAAAACGTGTTTTTGGGTTCTACTAAGCACCAAACCAACGCCATTACCGCCTTACGGCCAAATTTGCACCTCGTACTAAATAGTACCAGGTAGTACTATTTAGTACCAAGTGTTAAAAATGTGTTTTTTAAGCAGTACTAGGCACCAAAACAACACCATTAACGTCTAAAAGTGCTATAAGTCGAAAAATTTTCAAAAAGAATCCCTAAAGGCAGTAAGGTAACAGAAACCCAGTTTTCATATTCAGTCAGTTCATACTCAGTCAGCTCGAAAACCTTTCAAATTTTTTCAATTTTCACAAAAAATCCCTTTGTTAAAAGTCCCGAAGCGAAAACATTTCAAATTTTATTCAAATTTCACAAAGAATCCTTTTTTTCCAAGTCCCGAAGCGAAAACATTTGAAAAATTTTTTAAATTCACCAAAAAATTATTTTTTCCAAGTCCCGAAGCGAAAATATTAAACGGTATCGTTGACCCGAAATGTCGTTGACCCGAGGTGTCGTTGACCCGAAGTGTCGTTGACCCGAGTTGTCGCGACCCGAGTTGTCCCTGACCCGAAAAGTCGTAGCGCCAAAATTTGCACTTCGCGACAAAGAAACAACAATTTTGGATTGCTCAGTGCAGCGACAAAAGAAATAAAAATTGCACAGTGCAAAAAAATGAAGTTCGAAATGCACAGTGCGGCAAAAAACAAAAAAGAAAAATTGCACAGTGGGTTGAAACAAAAATTTGGATTGCACAGTGCGACAAAAAAAATAGAATTCGAATTGCACCGTGCAGCGACAAAAACAAATTCGATTGCACAGTGCAAACAAAACAAAGTTGATTGCACTGTGCAAAAAAAGTTTCGGCCTGCACAGTGCGGCAAAAACAAAAATTTTGGATTGCACAGTGCAGCGACAAAAGCGTTAAAAATTGCACGGTGCAAACAAAAAGAAGTCGGATTGCACTGTGCGATGACAGAAAAATAAAAAAAATCAAAAAAAAAAACTTTCAAAAAAGTTTCGGCTTGCACGGTGCAATAAAAAAATTTAAATTGCACAGAGCAAAAAAATTATTTTTTTTTGACTGCACTGTGCAAAAACCAAAAAATTTCATCCAAAAAGCCCTCTAAAGTCCCCTCAGAATGTGAGTCACACGTCAGAATGAAAATAGAAGAAAAACGAAATTTCGTGAGGGGCCGCAGCGAAAAGCAACGGTCGATTTTTTCTTCTTTCTCTGACCGCTCTCTTCCTTTTTGTGCGTGCGCCCTCTTCCTCTCGCCAATCGCAAATCGTTATTTCGCGGATCGCCACGGCTTTGACGAAATTCCCTTTTTATTTTGACGTGAGTCACCTAATTAAAATTGCTAATGACCTCTCCTTTATGGAAAAATTAATTCGGACCGCAAAAATTAGAACAAAAAGAGACAAAAGCCGGATTTCCCAAATCTCAAACGGCTTTTCGTTCCTTTCGCAATGCGAAAATCTGACCTCTCTCATGAATAAAAACAATTGCGCAAAAAATTTAGTGCAGAAATTTTCTTGGCAGAAAATTTTTGTTTTTTTACAGTTTTGACGTAATGGGAATGCATTGAGAAATTGCATAATGCAGTTACAGAAAAAAATACCACAGTAAAGTGACAGAAAAAATAAGATTAAATTTTGCAATGAATTTCCCAAAAAAAAAATTTTTTTTTAATTTCTCCACACTGTGGAAAAAATAACTTATATTTTTTTGATAAATTTAAATTCGATTTTTTTTTTGAGTTTGCACGATAACAAAGGGAATGTATTAGGTTGATTCAAAATTATCCGGCGGTTTTATTGGCGCGTTTTTTGGTAGTTAAAATTTGCGTTTTGTTAATGGATTTTTTATAAAAATAATCTTCACAATTTAGTTAATAAAATGTGTTTCAAAACCGTACTCTTATCCGCCATATTATGCTCTACCATTTCGAGAAAAGTTGGAAGTCAGCACAGTCATTTCGCGATCTCAACGAACTTTTCGGCGAAGAAAAAAAAATCGCCAGGTGTTTCGCCCAAAGGAATGCCAAAAGACGTCCACTGTAAGAAGGCTATGTGATATGTGTGGTGGGACAGAAGCGGAACCATCCACTGGGAAATCGTGCCTTTTTTTGTTCCTTCGTCGAAAAGTTCGTTGAGATCGCAAAATGATTGTGCTGACTTCCAACTTTTCTCGAAATGGTAGAGCATAATATGGCGGATAAGAGTACGGTTTTGAAACACATTTTATTAACTAAATTCTGAAGATTATTTTTATAAAAAAACCATTAACAAAACGCAAATTTTAACTACCAAAAAACGCGCCAATAAAACCGCCGGATAATTTTGAAGCAACCTAATAAAATACGTTGGTTCGAATATTTTTTTTATATCTTGCTCTAATTAATCATGATCTTTTCGGATTTATAAACCGCACTGATTTCTTTTTGAAAAAAAAAAATTCTACAGAATGGCGCAAGGGAGAGACACAAAAATGCACGGCAGGTTTTTTTTTGAAAAATGGCGCAAAATAAGCAAAATTTGAACAAATTACGGGAGTTTCCGAGTTTAGCCCCCCAAGAAAGGTAATACCCCAATGTTTTGCCCTTTTCAAAAATCCCATAATGAAAAAAAAGAATAATGCAAAAAATGCAAATTACAGCCCCAGTATTATATTGTTGGTGGTCACATTCAGGCCGTCGTGGTCTACACTAAATGTATTATTTTTAGTATATCAAACAAAAAAAATGCTGCAGAATTTTTTTACAGTAAGATTTGTTGGTAAAATACGATCTCCATAGCGGCGTTATTTGACATCTTCTTTACTAATTGTAACAAATAATATATACTTTCAAACATTTTTCTTTCAGCACTGTGCGTTTTTTCGAACTGTTTTGACTGCACAGTGCGAAAAGAAAAAAAAAAATTTGCACAGTGCAAACCTCAAAAATTAGAAATTTTTTCCCACCGATAACAAAATATCGTGTGTAACAAAATAACCTATAAAAATGCTCAAGTCACACGTCTAACGACAATTCCCACCTGCTTTTTTTCAAAAAGTTTCGCAAAATTCATCGACAAAATCCCGTTTCGAATGATTAATTAGATTAGTCCGAAAAGGCGATGTCGCTTTTCACAATCAATTCCCTGACGCAACGATTATCCATCCCCGTTTTGGTTTTCCAACAAGGTTTTTGATCTCTCGAGTGATGCCGACGGTGTTTTTGAATGGTCAAGTGGCTTTTTATGCAGAGAAAGAAACGACAAAGTGAAAACAAAAAAAAAAATTTTTTACGGATTTTTTTTATTTTGTTGGGAAAATAATGAGCACTCTGTCGCATCAAAAATCGATCGCATCGTCTCCGAGAAAAAAATGAAATGTGTCCCGGCAAAATCAAATTCATTATTTATACGCGTCATTATTTTCCCGACACTCAAAATGAGCTAAAATCTGTTTGTTGGCTCGCGCAAAGACAGTCGACCATCTTTTTCGCCAAAGGCTCTAGACTTGCAAAATAAAAACGAACTCTTCCGACCCAGCCTCAGAATACGGTCTAGCCTAGACATGGCTCCCGGGCCGAAATCTCGGCCCGGGGCCCCTTTACCGGCCGAAATTTCGGCCCGTCGGCCGGATTTCAGATCGGCCGGGCCGGCGTTTCGGCCCGGCCCGGCCCGGAATAGTTAAAATCCAGAATCTCGAAGCGAAAATTGGGTTTGATAATGAAAATAAACGCAATGTCAAGACACAGTTGGTTTTTTTAAAGGTATTTTTGTTTTTAGATAGCTATGGAACACAGTATTTATCCATTTACATGATGATAGAAAAAAATTTGGTCATAAGGAGTTAGAGGTCATAAGGGGAGACTTTCGTATCAATGGGCCGGCCCGGGCCAGCCCGGGCCGGGCCGAAGCAAATTTATAAAAAACGGGACGGGCCGGCCGGAACCCTTCAGGCCGACGACGAGCCATGTCTAGTCTAGCCTGACGGCGTCCGAAATAACAAGGCAAGTACCCCAAGTGCGACGCTCAGATTTTGATGAAACTTGGCATAAATATAGAAAAAAGTTTGCTCGTAAGACTTTTGGAAGCCAGTTGCTTCTTACGCTGCCCGACAGCAGAGATTGCCATGGCCTAAATTTCGGCTTTTAGACTATATGAATGTTTCCTATTGAGCCCTCGCACGTCAAAAAAATTCTTTTAGAAAATTGAAAAAACAAGCAATCTCGGACCATCGATTTTTTGCGAAGTGCCACCGAATTATCGAGTCCGAAAAATTATTTTTCTCTTCGAAAAATTATTTTTCTCTTCGAAAAAATATTTTTCTCGAAAAATTTTTTTCTCTGGGAAAGTTTTCTTTTGTGACTCGATAATTCAGCGACATTTCGTCAAAAATCAATGATCGTTTTTCCTTATTTTTTCACTTTTCTTGATGTGCCTCGTGGCGTTATTAGAAAGCAATGACACGATCCTGAAAATAATCACTAACATTAAGAACAGTTACGCGGACTTAACACCTAGCTCCGACTTTGAGCTCGAGAGCCGGAGCCGGACTCAAAATTTCCGGCTCGGGCTCTGGCTCCCTGTTTGGAGCCGCTCAGAGCCGTAGCTCCGGAGCCGTCGCAATCTCTGCCCGAGGCCTTCAACATCCTCTAGATCACCTATATCGAACAATCTGCGAAAAAAGCGACCTTCCTTGTTCGTTAAAAATTCGAAAAATAATCGTTGGATAACAGTCAACTCATTGCTCAAAAAACAAGCAACTCGTTTTTTGAAAAAACCTCTGGGAAAATCTGATTCACACAATGAACCGGAATACAAAAAAAACGAACCGGATACTTGTCAATTCCGTTTTATTAGTTGGTCAAAGCAGCAAAGATGATTCGCAATTTTTTATACCTCTTTTTCAATATTACTTATATATATTCTTTACCGTTAAAAATTTTTACCAAAGAAGAAGCAAGCCGATAAAAAGTAATGCGGATTGAAAACCAATCAAAATTGATGAGCTTAGAAGGATCTCCGGGATATTGCACACATATTTTGAGGTGGTGCTGTTGTTCTGTTGTCTACATTCGTTTTCAAAATTGATATACCGTCGGGTTGTGTAGATTTTGCCATCCGTTACGTTGTGCCGAGTGCATTGGTGGTCAATCTGAAGAAAGAAACTTTCTGGGACAGTTATTAAAGTGTCGGTGTAGCTACTTTTGAATTGCGTTTTTTACGGCTTGGGAAGTCAAAAAAAAAAAAAAAATTCTGCCAAAAACGAAGCTGAAAACTTGTAAATACATAGTAAAGTATAATTGATGGTACACTTGTAGAATATCGCCATAATTTTTTCTGCTGTTATTGCTTAAGTAGCGGATCTGATCCATTGAAAAAATGGTGCCATTTTGCATCCGGCAAGTATCAAAAATGTAACAAAATACCTCCCTTTCCAAGTAAAAAACCCCAATTTGAAAAGCGCCCTTCAAAACGGAGGTTTTTTAGTTAGAGACGGAGGTATTTTGCCACATTTTTGACACTTCCCGGAAGAAAAATGCTACGTTTCTTCCCACTGGATTAAGTCTCTCCAAACGAAATGTCTCCCATTTTAGGCTTGGAGAGGGAGGTGTTTTGCGGTTTTTTGATACTTCCCGAGTGCAAAATGGTAAGTTTTTTTGCCACTAGATCAGGTCTGTCACGTATACAGGGTTATTCGAAAAAAAAGGATATTTTCTTTCTTCGAGTTCTTTTAGTTTTGAACGTATATTGTAAAAAGGGTACCCATGGCATCAAACAGAGACGTTCTGGGCGGCCCACGTCAAACGGAGACAAGCTAAAACAGTCCAGTAAATGGATTGTCCAAAGAAGGACGCGAAAAAACGTTTTCCAAAGAAAGACGCGAAAAAACGTTTTGTCGGGGAAGAAATGGGGAATTTCTGAGGCGAGAGAGTACGCTTTTGCGTGTCTTTTTTCTCTCTTTCTCTGCGAAATCAAGACGAAGTGTAAAAAACCGATAGCGAAGGGTCTATTACGGTCATTGGACCCCTCAGCTTGACGTGCGGCCTGAGTGAAACACAGATGCCTAACAGCCAAAAGTTTTCTCCAAAATTTATCTGTGACGAAACGCCACATCGATTAAACTATACTCAGGAAATATATAGCTTCATTTATGCCTTACGTGACCAATAACATCAATTGGCTTACCGTAGCCACATAGGAGGCCCCAGTCTTCGTTGAATATGGCATTTTCTTGAGGTAAAATGGAAAGTCAGCCGTATCTCCGCTATAATTTTGCGTCAAATTCCTAAACGTAGTATTCCTTTATTGTTGCAAGATTATAAACTCTTACTGAAGCTGAATGTTGGTCTCATCCGGATCTTTGCAATTGAAAAGGATTCGCGCCGTCGCTGCGTCAGACGCTCGATTTGGCGACAAACAACGGGCTTTCAAGTTGATTTCTACAGGCGTTTTGTCATATCTTATCTCACATTCGCCATGAATTTGAGTGACAAGGAGAGAAAAGAGCAGTAATAGCTGTATCAGCACGATTTTCATATCAAAAAATAGTAAAAAAGAGAAATTTTGAGAGGAAACTCCAATTTTCAAAGTGGTTTTATATGTATTTGTCTCGCTTTTACGGATGATTCAGAAGTTCTTTCCGGCATGACTCGATGTCAGACTTTCGATTTAAGAATTTAATTTTCAAAACATTGATACCACACGGCAGAAATCACGTCAATCCAGCGCGTTTCCTGAACCGTTTCGAAACTTCGTATTGTTTTCATTTTTCTCGAAAAGGAAGAAGAAAAATAAGAAAATGCTTTTTATCGGACAGTGACATTTCGTTTTGAACGAATCACCAAAAAGGGGCGGGAAGTTTTTTCTTCTATTTTGGATTGACGTGGAAATGGTCCAGTGGCAAAAAAACGTACCAAAATACCTTGCATTTTATTTGTTTTTCTTTTCCGTTGAAATTTTTTTACCAAATAAGTAGCAAGCCGATAAAAAGTAATGTGGATTGAAAACCAATCAAAATTGATGAGCTTAGAAGGATCTCCGGGATATTGCACACATATTTTGAGGTGGTGTTGTCAATGCTCTGTTGTTTGCATTCGTTGGCAAAATTGATGTACCGTTGGGTCGTATGGAGTTTGCCAGAAGTTACGTTGTGCCGAGTGCATTGGTGGTCAATCTGAAGAAAGAAATTCTGGGACAGTTATTAAAGCGTAAGTACACGTCAATCCAGCCATGTTTCCTCAACCGTTTCGAAACTTCGCATTGTTTTCATTGATTGTGGTCCTTTAAAAGAGAGACAAAATGTCACGAAGTTATGGGCGCTTTTTTCGCCCGCAAATAATTGCTTTTTCTCGAAAAGGAAGAAGAAAGATAAGAAAATGGGTTTTATCGGATAGTGACATTTCGTTTTGAACGAATCACCAAAAAGGGGCGGGAAATTTTTTCTTCTGCAGGGTCTTACAAAAAACGTGAAGGACGTGCAGCGCAGCTAATTTTGAATTGCGCTTTTTACGGCTTGGGAATGTCAAAATGTCAAAAAAAACCTTTTTGTTTCCAAAAATAAAGCCGAAAAGACTGTAAAAATAATAGCACAGTAATTCATGGTGCACCTGTAGAATGTCGTCAAAGATTTTTAATGCTACAATATACGTCAATCCAGCAAGTTCTGTTCGAAATGTTTCTGACGACGATAAAACATCGCCCTTAAGACGAGCCAAAAGACACAATGCCAGAATAATGCCAAAATGGCGGGAAAGTAGAAATTCAAAATTATTTTAAAAAATTTTAGGGGGCCAGCCAGCGCTTTGAAAAATTTAAAAAGGGCTGGGCCGTCTTTGGCGGGGCTGGACCGGGGATCCGGAAATGCCAAAAGCCCTTTGTGTGACCAAAAAATTTTAGATATCAAAATTCTTTCGAAAGAATTTGGGTTGGTCTTAAAATCAAAAGAAATTTAGAGCGTTGTTTTCTGACCAGGAAAGATTGTTTTTTTCTATCTAGTCAAGATAAAGCAGCCCAAGGTTTTTTACAAAATTCTATTTGTGACGAAACGCCACATTGATTAAGGTATTGTCAGGAAATAGCTTCATCTATGCTGGATTTACGTGACAAAGAGCAACAATAACCTTACCGTAGCCACATAGAAGACCTCATTCTTCGTTGTCTTATGCATTTTGTCGATGAAAAAACGAAAGTCAGCCGTATCTCCACTATAATTTCGCGTCAAATGCCTAAACGTAATGTTATTTTATTGTCACAAGATTGTAAACTCTTACTGAATCTCACTGTAGGTCTCATCAGTAACTTTGCAGTTGAAAAAGAGTCGTGCCGTCGCTGCCTCGGACGGTCGATTTGGCGACAAACAACGGGCTTTCAAGTTGATTTCTATAGGCATTTCGTCACGTTTTATCTCACATTGGCCATGAATTTGAGTGACAAGGACAGAAAAGAACGATAATAGTTGTACCAGCACAATTTTCATATCAAAAAATAGTAAAACAGCGGAGATTTTGAGAGGAAATTTCAATTTTCGAAGTGGTTTTGTATGTATTCTTCTCGCTTACGGATGATTCAGAAGCTATTTCCGGGGTGACTCGATGTCAAGACTATCGATTTAAGAATTTAATTTTCACAACATTGATACTACAGTGACAAAAAATTGTACCATTTTGCGTCCGGGAAGTATCAAAAATGCAGCAAAAATACCTCGCTTTCCGAGTGAAAAAACTCAGATTTCATTACTTTCCCAACTGTCGGCCCTAGGCTCTACCTCGCCTATCATTTGACAAACGACTACACAAACGATGAGAAACGACTAACTATACTCATGAAACAACTTCACTAATGAACTCACAATAATTGACTCCACAAACACAAGAGTTGCCCATAGACAAATCAATAATAGACAATAGAAAATACGACGATTTATTGTACACAACACAACATAACCGAAAAGACAGAAACAAAATAATAATTGATTGGGCGATTTCTCTTCCTTTTGTACCAATTTGTCGGTCATTCCGTGGGAATATGCAAATTCGCACGCGAAGTCGTGACTTTAGTTCGCAAACTTGAACTCCAACTCCAACTTTTGCAGAGGCCTGGAAAGCACCACAAAACTTGCTTCATGACCTCTCTGCCTCAACGGAGAGGCATCTACTGCTTCTGCTCGCTACTGTGCTCATCTTCGGCCAAAACTAAGGCCTTACAGCTATTAAAAATCCGTCAAGCCATATAAAGTTTATGACAGTAAAACATTTACGAACACATCTATAAGAACCCGACTTTTTCCATAGACAACTTGAAGACAACGTCGATGCAGGAGTCGAAAACTCGGTCGATATTTCGCGTATCCGTGGCATTCGTGTAGTGAGTGTAGACTGGTCGTTTTTCCTGGATTTCCGCCGGCACTACGGTCATAAACCGGTCGGTAACAAAGTTTGCCGAACTTTCGTAGGTATTCGGCCCTAAAGTTAGGATTTAAAAAAAATTTTTTTTTGTAAAATACGATCTTGGGATGTTCGAAAGTCTCACCGGAATAACTTTTGAAGCACACAGTTAGCGGAAAGACGCTCAATCTCTCACGGAAGATGTCCACTTTGTTCAAGAATAAAATAATCGCTGTTTTCTTGCCAAAACACGGGTTGTTGACTATCCGTTTGAACAAGTACATGCTGTATTTTAGCCGGTTCTAAAGTGGAAAAATTTTTCTTTGGGTTTTGAGATGGTTTTGCACTATGCAATTTTTTTTGGTTTTTCGCACTGTGCGGTGACAAAAATTTTCGCACAGTGCAATCGGAATAAAAAACTTTGAATTTATTGCACTTTTCAAAAAAAAAAAAAAAAAAAAAAAATTTTTTTTGCACTGTGCAATTGCATATTTTCTTCGTTTTTGGCACAATTTTTTAGTGCACAGTGCAATCGGAAAAAACATTTTTGCAATTCCATTTTTTCCCTTTTTTGGCAGTGTGCAATCCAAAAAACTTTTTTTCTGCATGTCGCAGCAAAAATAAAAAAATATTGCACAGTGCATTTTCTCGTCATTTGGTAAAAAATTCTGCACCGTGCAGTAAACTTTTTTAGTTTATTGCACTGTGCGATAAAAAAAATTTCAGTTTTTTTTGCACTGTGCGCTAAAAAATTTTTGCACAGTGCAGTCGAAACTGATTTTTTTTGCAAAAAAATTTGAAGTAGAAAATTTTTTGGACTGTAAGATTTTTTCAATCGAAAAAATGAAATTTTTAAACTTTTTGCACTGTGCATTCAAACCAAAAATTTTTTTGCACAGTGCAAAAAATCAGCATCAAAAAAGTTCCGTCTTACCACAGTTCTCTCTCCATCATTGAGCATTTGATTGTATCCTGAGAGCTCCGCAATGAACAGTAGTCCATTTACATTGTCAAAACAATGGATCCATTTCCGCTGTTCGGACCTTTGCCCACCCACATCGACCATTTTCAGCGTCACTTTTTTGTAGTTAAATTCGATTTCGTTGATTCCAGTGGTGGCTATTCGTGCCCTCAGGGCATCCTGATGACTTGGGTGGAAACCGGGCGACCCAATTTCTTTGATTTTGTCGAGAAAACTGGAAAAAATTGATTTTTACAGGGTCTTACAAAAAACGTGAAAGAAATTGGAAGGCTATAACTTCCGGCAGAGGCGGCGCGGAGACTTCGTATTTGAAATATGTCTTTTTAAAAGACATAAGTTTTTGTCCACGAAATAACAAGCTTTTAAAGTCCAAACTGAGGTCGCTACGACCTTCTGAAGTAGAGCCATCTCTACCCCGAAAACCAGGTTTTTTCGGTTGAAAATGATCGAGAAATTTCGGACTTTTTCGGTTGAAAACCACCAGGAAATGTCGGATTTTTTGAGGGTTTGTTGATGCAGTCTTTAAGAAAACGTCGAAAAAATTGCAAGTGTTGGCACTTTCCTCCTCTTTTTCAACATCACCCATATCGAAACCCCCCATTTTCAACCGAAAAAACCTGGTTTTCGGGGTGGAGATGCCTCTACTTCAGAGGGTCGTAGCGACCTCAGTTTGGACTTTAAGAGCTTGTTATTTCGTGGACAAAAACTTATGTCTTTTAAAAATACATATTTCAAATACGAAGTTTCCGCGCCGCCTCTGCCGGAAGTTATAGCCTTCCACTTTCCTTCACGTTTTTTGTAAGACCCTGCAGTTTCAAAATCATCATTTTTGAAAAAAAGTATCAAAATGTCTCCAAAAATTCAAAATTTTTCCAAAAAATCTTACTATACAGCACTATCCAGAAGCACAATCTCATGCTGTCGTAGCAACACGGCCTTGATGAAGCGGCTTTCGTAGATCCGCTGCATTTTCTCCGCCAACTCCCCGTCCATTTCCAGCTCGTACGGTAAAGTGTTATCAAAATAATTGCGGAAATGCATGACGTCATGCATAACCTCCTCGTCCACCTCAATCCTCAATGTTTTTGCTCCCTCCAACAGCTGATACAAGGCTTGCGTTGTGTTCGCATAAATTAAATAGCGAAAGTTGAGCATGTCGGCTTCGGAGAAGCCGTTCATGTGGAGGATCCTGGAAAAATAAAAGGTTGTGGGTAATGGAATTTAATTTTGATTAGAACTTCAGTACTAGTCCATTTGCAAAGTCGCTGAAATGGCTTTTGAGAAATGCACTGTGCAAAAAGGAGAGCTTGCTTTGCACTGTGCAATTTGTTGTTTTTTGATCGAAAGTTGGCAAAAATGTGACACTTTTTTTGCGAATTTTGATATGAAAAATTTTGTCCCATTTTCTACCTTCGAGTATAATTTTTCACAAAAAAGTTCATTTTTTAATGCGGAACTGGCCTAAAAAGTGCTTTTCTCTGCCAGTTCTCCGCGTTTTGCGTACTCACTCGACGGCAAAGATCAATATCTCGTCCGCCCTGCAAAGCATGAGCTAAAGCTTTCAGGAATTTATATGTGGCCAATGCACAACGTGAGTGAAAAATATAAAAAAGGTTTTTTGACCGTTGCACTTACAGGGGAAGTACTCCAAGTGCGACGCTCAGGTTTTCTTTAAATCGTCGGGTATGGACTAAATATCAATTCCTGAAAGCTTTAGCTCGCGCTTTGCGGGCGCCGCCGAGATAAAGAACGATTTTTTCCGCCGAGAGAGCACGTGAAACGTGGAGAGCGGTCAGTGAGGAAAACGCTTTTTGGCCATAACTTTGGCAGTTTTGTGCGGAAAAAATTTGATTTTTTGTAGAAACATTATCCTTTACGGTAGAAATAGGCGTGCAAAATTATTCTAAATTTGTGCCAAGTTTCATCAAAATCTGGGCGTTGCACTTGGAGTACTTCCCCTGTTAGGATAACTTGTTTTCGCCGATCCCTTTCGGTGTGAAGAACGTATTTTACCTTTCCTCCCCTTATTTTTCCTGCTGTTTTAGCCAGCTTTATGCTAAAAAATTAATTTGTTTTTTCTTTTACTCTTTGACGTCTCTCCTAACTTTCCGTAATCTCTCGTGGTAAAGACTGTTGAATATTTGAGACGCCTATTCTCAAGCTAAACAGTAAAGCAGCAGTCAAGACGCTTAACAAATGATGTTTCACACAAGAGAGTACAAAAAATGAGGAGAGACCCCTCCAACATCCGGTTTTTTACCCGAAAAGTGCAAGGCTCAAAAAAGTGCCATTTCTCGGCCCAATTTGGCATTACGCTAGACCCGTTTGAATATGCAAATGAAACAATGTCTGTAGAGAATCTAATTCAAAGTGCAAACTTACTTCATCTGTTTGAATATTGTACTCTTTCCAGACTCGGGGCCACCTGAAACCATCTGATTTTGATTACATATTCTTCAAGAAAATAAAAAAAATGTAACCGGCTTCAACAAGTTAGATGTAGAAAATGGGCGAGTAATTAGTTAATTTTTGATTCTTTCGTTAATTTTTGAGGTCAGGTTTTACGGTAATTTTTGATAAAACATAATAAATTAGGATTCTAAAACCTCGTAAAAACATTTTTTATGAAGAAAAATGAGAGGTACCCCAAGAAAAAAATTTCAAAGGAAATCGCAAGGGACCACAAAATTTACCCGTTATATCAGTCTGTCGGAAAAATAATGAGCATTCTGTCGCTGCGCCAGTCGCGTCGCTGAAGTAGAAAACAAGGAAAAAGTTCCTTATTTTGGCCACAACAAAGGTACTCCGCGAACTGCGCCCAAGCTTGGGCACTAAAGTTAGGAAAAAAACGCTTCGACCTAGCTGGCACTGAATTACTATAATAGCTCTATAGTTTTATGGGTACCTACGAAGGCTGTGACGACTCATTTAGTTGCATACGGAGGCAATAAATTTACTTTCCGGACATGTTTCATCGTATAAAGTGTAAAGTAATAGGCTGCAGCCATTTTTGAAGGGTAAGGTGGTACGTAAAAAAGAAGGTACCTCACTAACTAAATCCACTGTCGGGGCATTGACAACGATGAATTAGAGCGTGCACGCTAAATTTGGGCTAATTCCGACCGGTTTCCGCAAAGTTATAAGTTGTGGCCAAAATAAGGAACTTTTACCAAAAACAATTTCGATTTTGACGCGACGCAATTCATCTTCTCGGCGGCAATGCGATTTTCGATGCGACAGAGTGCTCATTATTTTCCCGACAGACTGATGGAAGAAGGGCTTTGTTGTAGGAAGGTTCATTTGGCTAAAAAATGACTTTTGGGCCTTCGAAATTGTTTGTTATAGGCAGGTTCTATTATACGGGAATTTGTTCTATTGAGATCTCACTGAATCCTAAACACGCCGCATATCGCTTGCTAAGAATTTTACTTTGCGATTTGCAAGCGCATCTGAGAAATCCAAGGATCTTTGCCAGCAAGAGAGTACAAAAAATTCGGAGAGTGGGCAGGTAAAAAACGTTTTTTTTATCAATTATTAGCCTGTTTTTGGTGGAAAAATTGAAAAAAATGTAACCTTCTCGATAGAAATAGCCTTTAAAAATTTTTTATTCCAAAAATCGCAAATAAATTTCAGTTATTTCTGCAAAGCGCGGACTAAGAATTTGTCAGAAAAAAGTAATCTAAATTTCCCCAAAACTTGACTATTAAATCTTAGCCTTGCATTTCGCCCTCTTTCCCTATGAGAAACACGCCTTTTTTCCTCAAAAACCCCATCCAAAAAATAGTTCAAAACATGACGTCACACTTACCCAACAACAAAATCTTCATGATCTTCTGCTGCGCCAGGCGGTCCGCTTCGATCTGCTTGTTGATCTGATGATTCCTCGCGATCAACGTCTTCAAATCACTGTCATTGTCCTCCATCACGCTGCTCGCGTCCGTCGAACAACAGGGCTTGTCGTCGTGCGGGCGGCACAGTGAGAACATATTCTCTTGGTCTGGAAATCCCCCGAAAAGTCATCAATGAAGAAAAACAAGGGTAATATGTGAGGGCAAGTGTTCATGCGGCACGCAATATAAACGCATGCGGGGATTTCAATGAACTACGGGTTGGACAAGATTTGTAGTGGGATTGAGGTAAATTTGATAAAAATTGGGGATTTTTTGCGTAGCTTGGAAATATCAGTTATGTCGGGAAAATAATGGGGCAATTTGATTTTTTTCGCTACACAGTTCATTTTCACCTCAGCGATGCGATTGTCGACGCGACAGAGTACTCATTATTTTCCCGACAGACTGATATTATTTTCATAAAGTGCATAGACATTTTTTCGCCTTTTTTGCGAGTGTACAGTGCATTTTTCCTTTTTCCCCTATTTGTCGCTAACGCACCGTGCATTCCGCAGTTTTTCGCACAGTGAAAAATTGAAAAAAGCGGTTTGCACTGTGCCTAAAAAATCGGCAAAATCTGTTGGAAAAATCCGACGATTTTTTGATGCGTGGTGGAAAAACTAACAAAAAAAAGTGAAGGGCACTGTGAAAAATGGGTTTTTCGAGAAATAAGAGTGAAGAAATAAGATCGCACCGGTCGTTCCGAAGCAAAACGTTAAAAACGCTTTCCTAAATTTTTTTTGAAAAAATAGAATGGAAAAAATGAGGCCGACATGAGAAAAAAAGCTCGAGAAAGCAAATTTAGCGTCTTTTTCAAAATCTGAAAATCGGTCTTATTTCTTCATTCTTAAATGACAAAAATTCTCCGCACTTTATGAAAACACGAATTATTATAAATAGTATCGTAGAGCTCAATGTTTTTCAGAAGCGGAGTTCTGCTCTTGCAGTTACTTTATTTTCGCCATATTTTTCAATTCAATTATGAACTAGCGCACATGAATTCCAAAAAATCCTAGCTCGTTTTGCAGTTCCGGCTGAGATATACAACGAACTCTGCCGATGAATGAGTAAGGAAGGAATGGAGAAATTTCATAGAGAAAGGCGGAGGGTTTTGTATGTTTGAGCTCGGTTTGATGTTTTTGGAAACATTGAACAATTCATTTTTTAGGGATCCAATAACTATCAAGTCAAGCCATTAGCAAGAGAGCCAAAGCTTTGACAAGTTTTCAATAAATCAAGGTACAGTAATTTCGGGTCAGCGACAGATCGGGTCTATGACATTTCGAGTCAACGACCCCGTTTTATAGCCGAACGTGAGGGATAGGGGCCGAAAAACGAACCTGACAAAATTTGAGATGCTTTCGCTTTGGGACAAGAAAAAGAAAGCTTCTATAATAGAAGTTTGGTTCGATTTTCCAAAATGTTTTCTTTTCCTGCCCCGAAGCGAAAGCATTTCAAAATTCGTCAGGTTAACTGTTCGGAACTAGTCCCTCGATTACCTATAAAACAACATCGCCGAAACGTCAAAGACCAAAAAGTTGACTAAAAAAAGATAACGCGGCACATCAAACCGAGAGACGATTATTTCCCTCCACATGTCCTGTAGACAGCATAAACTTTCAAAGAAAGTCAAAGGACCTTCTCTGGGCTCTCTCTTATTTTTCCCTGTTTTCTCGTTAGCAAGGATCGTTGAGTATCTCAACCGCTTCAGTCAAGAACCAGCTGAAATTTCAAAATTTCAAACACTCCTCCTTTATATGGCCAAGAAACCAAAAATAGCCCTCTAATCTACTGCAAAGCCCCTTGTGAACTCAAAAATAAACCAGCCCAGATACACATATCAAACGGTATGAATATATGCTTTAAATATGGACCCAGTAGGCGCTGAAACGTGCTCCAAGCATACTCTGTGCCGGTATGGGAACAGCTGAAAGTATGTGGAAATTTCCAGCAGTCGTCAGAAATGAAACCGCCTAAGGGCTTCCGACAAGAGGAAACCGAAACGCTCCGGAGAATCGGTAATTACAACGCATTTGCGATGCTGTCGCACACCAAGTTTTTTTACTCTGGTTGTAGTAGGAAAGTGGAAAAAATGAGTGGAAAACCGACAAAGTTGAAAATGGATTTCTAATTTTTTACAGAGTAAGTGCTTCAAGTGCGACGCGAACAATGTCAGAGATTGATGAAACTTGTCGTAAATTTAGGTTAATTTTTTCGACAGCATATGCGATTCTCCTACTTTGCGCTTTGCAGAAAAAATCGAGATTTTCAGACCGAAGATCGCCAAAAATCACTCTTTCCAAAAATAGAATTTTCATTTGTCAGACTTGTCTTACAGTGAATTACAAAGTTGACCATAGCAAAGCAATTTAAAGGACTTTGAGCAATTTTCATTTTTTGCACGCAATTACAACATTAAAAGTTCGTATTACCAAAAATATTGGAATTGAGAACAAATTTTATTAGAGTGTCCAAATACAGGCGTATTTTACACATTTACACAAAAAATTACAGCAGTATCCCCAAAAGGACATACGTTTTTGGCCAAAAATCATAGGGATTAAGCCCTGCCAATCAAAATATTTTGGCGAAAAAACTGGTAATAACAGCAAACAACAAGTGTGTACTAACCTAATGATAGCCGGGTTCCTCTTCGGGGGTTGGAAAGGACAAAAAAAAAGAAAATTATTGTTGACTCATATATATACAGGGTGCGCCAAAAATATTGGGACTCATATTTTTACTTGCCCTGCGGGCTGTAATGGTACAAGAGCAAAGTGGTCGCTTGTGCAAACGTGCAATGCTCCCAAGAATCTATCTTCAAAGTTTCAGACAGAGTAGTCGTATACGACACCTGTTCTGCCATTATAAGTGCTCACAACTAAGGCCCCTGAGACACGGACCCCAAAATGGATAAAAATTGGAAACACTAGTTTTACCGTTGCATGCTATGGCAGAAATTCACTTTATATGACAGAGTAGCGGTCGCTTTTTATACACTAAAAATGATCTTTCCGAATAACGACGATTACATCTTTTACAGCCCGTCAAAGTCGGCCTAAAAACGCGCCGTTTTCCAGAAAACTTCCGTAAGATCAAAGATTTTTATGTAGAAGTTTCCATGTAAGGTTCCCAGCGTATTAGACATCAGAGATACTTTTATAAGGACAACGAGAGTCTGACTAGTCGTCTTTGAAAAATTATTTTTTTATCTTCTGCCTCTGGGGGATGAAATAGTGACTATAGCGGTAGAATTTACTCTAAGGTTGCTCGTCAAGTGAGCTTGGACTGAAGATCGCTAAAAGTAATTCAGTTGTGTCAGCATGTATCCCGAGTATAGCGTTACGTCGATTTTTACGCTCAAGTACTTTTCAACTTGTAGTAAACTGCCAAAATATATCAAGCTTCGAAGGACCGTGCCTCCAATCCGCACCATAAAGTTTTTTCCATACAGAAACTGTCCCCTTGTAGGTGTAGATTTTATTTTAGAGTATGACAATTCCTTATGTACACACTCTATAACCACAAAATTTTAGAGCAACACGGGCGATACTGTGGTATTGAGATCGCTAAAAACATAAAAATCCAAACTTTCGGGATTTTTTTTGTTTTTCGACCAGCGCCGCCATATCGGTGTCAACCATGATTACATACGTTGTTACAAAGTGAATAGCATGTGCTTTAAACACAATAAATTTGAAGGATCTTACTTTCCCTTAGCGGAAATAATGGCCAAATTGATTTCCCGGTCATCCACTTGAAAAGAAAATTTTGGTCCCCCAAAAGCTTTTGACTATTTTTTCAAGTTTGCAATAGGCCCCAACCCTGGCATTACCGTTGCCGTATAGCAAGACTGTTACCCTTGCTAAAACGGTCAAAAGTTTTGATTCCAAGGCCAGCCGAAAAAAGCTACATGGAATTGATTTTTGTCCCAATATTTTTGGCGCACCCTGTAATTACATGTCACTTTTCTGCGGGCCGTCTGAAAAAGATTGCCCGTAAATCGTTGGAATTTAAGATAGTCAAAATATGCAATTTCAGAAGATTTTTTGGCATAAAAATTTGTCGCATTCCGACTTTTCGGGTCGATGGCAGTTCGGGTCCAAACAAAAAGATGCCAAAAAAGGTCGTAGGAAGTGCCTACGAGGCCTGGCGAAGCTGTTGGATGGTCGGCGGCCGCTCGGTGGAGCTTTGTCGCAGATTTGCAATATGTCAGCTCTGTCTAATCCCACTTAGTACTAACGTTATCTCACCCGAAAAGTCGTAGCGCCTGCAAACTTGGTTTTTTGCACAGTGGAGAGCAAAATCCTCCAAAACATCTGGGAAAGCCTCAATTCCTGCCAAAAAATTTTTACGAATACCGACAAGAGGTTTAAAAACGCAAATTCAACGAAAGAAGAGCGGATGAAAAGTGGGGCCGAGCTTTATCACCGGTTCCAGGCATTCAAATTCATGCACGTGGTAATTAATTATGAAGCGCCGGCTTTCGTTCAGGTCAAAGTCCAAGAGATGTGCATGGATAATATAATTCCGCTTGTCGATGTAAAAAGCTGACTATTTTTAAAATTTACATTAATTTTGTAGATTTACTAAATGTTTCCCAAACATATTCCATTCTTTAGCTGTTTTTTAAAGGTTTTTTTGGAAATTTGAATTTATTATTCGGCATGTACTCGGAACATGACGTAAATAGGCCGCTAGAATGTGTTCACCTCAAACATCTACGCATTTGTCGCTCACCTCTCCTTGCAGCACATACCTCCATTCGAGCAGCTCGCAGTCTGAGGTCGCGGTCGTCTCTCATCTGCAACGTCACAGATCATAAGCTTAAGCTGCTCAACCGTGTCAGGTGGGTCTGGCCGATTGAAAATCTGGGATTTCATGAAACCCCACAGAAAGAAATCGCAGACGGTGAGGCCTGGAGATCTTGTAGGCCATGGGAATGGAGATGGATGCATCCGAGTTCCGCGACCCATTCACCGATGTGGGAACGCTGCGTTGAGTGTAGCAAAATATGTGTCCATTATCTAAGCCGGAACGCCATCCTGCTGAAAGATAAGCGACGGAAACGACGTCCAGCTCATCAATTCAGGCAACATGACCTACTGGAATTTCTTGGTCAACAAGTCCGCATTAACTCCACGCGCACCGTCTTCATTGCTTCAGAACATTGGGACAACGACACCGTGGACGCCAACGGATGTCCAGAATGTGACTTTCAACGGATGAAGTACGTGTTCTTGAAAGAAATCGGGGTTGTTATGTTGAAAAAATAATGAGCACTCTGTCGCACCTAAAAATGGATTGTGCGGCGGCAAAGTCAAATTGATTCTTACTTCAGCGACACCACCGGCGCTGCGACGTTGTGCTCCCTGCTCACAATGCCGAGATCAGATTAAGGAAACCTCGTGGCCGATTTTTTCTTGCCAACCATGATTGTGAGGCGACCTTACAAAAACGTCAGATTTTATTCTTTGTATACATGCATGTATGTATATATGATTTTTTTATGTCGACGCCAAACGTAAAAAAGATAGAATAACGGCCAAAATGAAACTGATTCATGCCTTTTTCCGAATCGGCCGTCTGCTGGATAGCCCTTTTTTCGAAGCACACGTGAAGATGAACATTGGGCCTGCTTTGTTTCCACTAATTTTTTGTTTATTTCCGCTTGTTCAAGGGCAAGATGAAATATCAAGGTAAGAAATTTCAAATTTGAAAAATTTACGAGCCTTGGAGTATTTCCCCCTTAAGCATAACATATTTTACTATTAACTTACAAACAACCTTAATATGCAAAGCAAATTATTATTTCTACTGAAATCAACATTTTCAGACTCAACGATGTTTTGAAGGAATTTGAAATGGAATGTAAGTGGAAAACACACTGCTAGAGCATAGAAATTAAGAGTCAAAAATGTAGTTGACATGACGATGTTTTTAGATCTTGACCAATGGGAGTTCCTCAACCACTCGCTGAATTTCTGTCGGAGGAACACCCAGAAAAGCAACACCCCATTAAATGATCTGGAAGAAGGAAAGATCAGCTTTTGCGAGTGAGTCTCAAAAAATGTCATTTCCTTTGAGTATCTCCTTATACCAGTTTGTCGGGAAAATAATGTGGATTCGTATACTAATTAAGCCTTCTCTATGCAGTTCTCTGCCATGCGTAAAACGGCAAACCGAGGCGCCCAAAGGCATCGGTGATCCGAAAAGGCGTAGAGCCGCCATGCAGCAAGCATTTTCCAGCCAAAATAAAACTGTTTGACGTTTCAGCTATATGGACGTCCAACGGAACCAAACTTGTAAAAATCTTCAAGTTGAGAGTTGTAGACGTTTTAGTCGAAAACTTTTACTCGATTACGCATTTCAATATCTGGAAGCAATGAATACGAGCTCCTATGCCCTCACAGACATCTGTCTCACGGGGGAAAACTCGATAAATCCACAACTTTTTGACGAGCTTGACAAGTTGGTTATTGGTGACATTCCGTTAAGTCTCTATGTAAACGACACTCAAACCTTTGAAAAAGATGTTATCGTTATCCCATCAAAGGAAGTCCATCTCTTGGCCAGACCTGATGCGTTTTGCAGAAACTTTAATGTGAACGTTCAACTTGAGGATATTCGAAATAATGAGATTGAATAAACTGTTTTGACTCGGGACTTATAAATTTTTGTGTCCAGAAAATGCGTCACGGTTCAAACATCTTAGAACCTGAGATACAAATAGTGACTGCAGTGGCGTCATTTACTCTATGGTCGTTCCTCGACTGAACTAGACATTGCTAAAAGTCATGCGCGTTCCCATGATTCCAAAATTCGATCATGGAAATTTCGAAAAAAGATCATAATCTTGAGAAATTCCCATCCAATTGTCTAGTCTTTCCATTTCTCGTCAGTATTCTGCAAACGATGACTTTCCGTGCGGTCGCTTTTCTTCTTCTCTGGCAGGTTGTGGCCCCATACAATGGAGATTCCAGCACTTTTTTGATGGACAAGTGTGACCCAGGCATGATTTGCCACGAGCTGGGTGTGGACAGTTTTCAGGACTACGCGGTCGAATTCGTATGGTGAGGATTAAAAAGTTAGCCGCCGATTTTATAGTTTAATTTTTTTCTGTGGAAAGTTTCTTATTCCGGCCACAGCAAATGCAGTCTGCGAGCTGCGCCAAAGCTTTCAATCCGGCTAGAAAAAAGGGTTCGAATTAGCTTGTTCTGGTTTACTATAATATCTATATGCTTTTTAAAGCAGGTTTTGCCAGAGAGTCGAGCTAGCTGTGCACAAAAAACAAGATGTTACAGTAGAGATGTTGACATCTTTTTCCTTGAACTTGGAAATATGCGAAAATTGCATAATTACCAAAAACGCTTAGAATGCTAAACTAAACCAGCGTTCCAAATTGCCAACTTGCCCGTTAGCAATGTCGCTTGAGTGATTTCTGGTTTCTTTCAAAAATAAAAGATTATTTCGTTGTGAAAACAGTCGGACGTCTTCCATTGCAATTCAAATTCTTTTTTTTGTGAGCATTATATTTTTTAGGGTGCCTGATGGACTCGTTGCCAAGTATGACTTCGTACAATGTAAGTCCGAAAAGCAAATTTACCCAACTTTTCAGGGAAGAATCTAAAAGTGACGGAGCGGTTGACACAAGGAGATGATTGGAGCACCAAAAGGATAAGCCGTAGCGTGTGTCGTCATCCGATCCCAGGCGCCGACAACAAAATGTTTATAGAGTTTAGTTCCGAGCGCGTCGAAGTCATCAAGTTTTACGAGGAGGGAAAGCATCTGGCTGTAGACAAAAGAGGAAACAAACTGTTCCGGATCATGAGCGATTTCATAGACGTAGGCGTCGTTTTTACTCAAAACCGGCAGTGGTTTCGATTTTTTGCGTAAAAAGGCCAATATTCTTTGGATGTTATAAATTTCGTATTTCCAGCGCCAACACATCAGCGTGGAGAACCTAAAACATTCGGTAATCTACAACAGCTGGATCTTTCTCAACGCCACCCACGCCATAGATTTGAAAAGATACATGTACTTCGACCCGGCGGAAACTTACAAACTGCGTACACACGACGACGTCGGACGTGATCGTCCTGGTCGTATTAATAAACCTTATTGGAGGTAGAAGTGAAAGAAACTTTGACTTTTTAAAAACTTTTTAGCTATGGAATGGAACACGTTCACTCGATTCCGAATGAGGACATCCCCATCGAATTTGTGGACATGATCACGAGGAACTGCTTCGTAAGTTTGGGAAAAATTTAAAAAATTTTCTGTTAAAATTCCTCGAAATCTGTATGGTAATTTCAGGGAAATCCGAACAGATATTGCGCAATTGATCCCAGAGATGGCACTATTCACTACACCCCGTATCCGGCCGTTTTGCGAATGGGAGATTTCATCATGGAACAGCGATGGCAGGAGGTTCTCAATGATTTTGTCCCGGTTTATCGATTCCATCACCTTCACATGCCCGAAAAGTAAGGGATTTGCGATTTTTCGGGATTTTGGGTATCAAATCATGGGAAATGTTGGAAGCTTGAAGCTCAGATTTTGGCAATTTGGGGTAAAATAACTTTTTATTTTCGCGGAAATATTGTCCCCCACATATTTTTTGCACAAAAATCTAAAAAACCCCAACGGAAAAAACTTACCAGCATTGCGAAAACATCAATTTCTACATGGAATCGAAACCAAAAACGTTGTGAAGAGAGACGCCAAAAAGAAACTACCGTATCCTTAATTTGTTTGTTTTCGCGCCGGGACGCAACATGGAGCTTGGGAGAAGCGACAAACGATATTTAAAATAGCAACAGTTAACTTGGGGAATGTAGAATTGTTTGAAAAGTAAAGCACATAAGGTGAAAGTCAATATATCAGCAATAGGTTGCACAAAATTCAGGTGAAACCTGAGCGTTGCACTTTCAACACCGGCCTTTCTGTTCTTTGTAATTTTTTGTGTTTTCAGCGAAGTGTTTTATTATTCAAACGTAAAAGAGCTGTTCTTCGAACTATTGAAGCACGGCAAGCCAAAAGACCCTGATATGTAAGACTCTTTTTAAATCTTCACAGAGCAATGAAAATTTTTTTAGAAATCGTCGTTGGATCCGCGGAGTAATGCCTCAGCCCAAAGAGGGCGACAAAATTTTCGAGCTGATGATGCAAAGAACAACCACTACGCCGCCTCCTATCCAGTCCACTACTCCACCAACGTCCACCTTGAAACCTCTTCCTCTAGACGCATATAAGCCGATTGAATATCTGTCCATCGATGAAATGGAAGAAGAACCAATGCCAACGCCAGAAATTGCAAGTCAATTAATGCCAGAATTTGAAAGAGAAGTTGACGCAGCTTCGGATCTTGTCAGAAACTCTGTGGCAATTCTGTTGGCCGTTTTTATGATTACCGTGTAAATTGAAAGTAATTCGAATAAAAGGGCCTGAAAATATTCACAAAACGAGTGTTTAAAATGTAAACGATTCGGTTTTTTTAAAAGTTTAGAACGGTGCATTTTTAGGTTTTGATGAAACAGCTGTGTGTTAGCATTTCCATAAATTACATGGACATTTTCTCACTTTGGCACTGCGCATCTTGAATTTTTTCCCGCCCTTGTAGGCCAATGCGCAGTGGGCTTTCCCTTTGCGCACCGTGCAAATCTCAAAAAAAACTGAATTTGTCGAACACAGCTAGCTACAGGGTTGGCCACTCGAAGTTGACGTCTTTTAGTTCTATGGGTTTCTCAGAAGAGACCCCGCTAATGTTCCTAAAATTTAGACTTTTTTGGAGCTGAGATTTGCTATTCAGCTTATTGAATTTCAAAAAAAAATATTTTTAATTGATCTTTCTTTGCGTTTTCACAACTTTAAAAAACTTATTTTTAAACCGAGTGAAAGCATGAAATTAGGCCACGATCGCGTCGCAAAAGTATACATAACGTTGCGCACTTGGTAAAATTTCCACTAATTTGGTTGCTGCTCCCATTTCTCGTCAGTCTTTTGAAAGTTGCAAGTTCCCATGGTTCCAAAATTCGATCATGGAAATTTCGAAAAAAGCTCATAATCTTGAGAAATTCCCAATCCAATTGTCTAGTCTTTCCGTCAGTGTTTTGCAAACGATGACTTTCCGTGTGGTCGTTTTTCTTCTTCTCTGGCAGGTTGTGGCCCCAAAGAATGAACAACCCAGCACTTTTTTAGTGGACAAATGTGACCCAGGCATGATTTGCCACGAGCTGGGTGTGGACAGTTTTCAGGACTACGCGGTCGAATTCGTATGGTAAGACTTTGGGTTGAAAAGTTAGCCGCCGTTTTTATGGTTTACATTTTTTCTGGCGAAAGTTTCTTATTCCGGCCACAACGAATGCAGAGGCGGGGCCAATAAGCTATCTGAAAGTTTGCTGAAAATAAAAGGGCACAGGAAGACTTTTGAAGCTCATTTGGTTCCAATACGGAAGCAAAGGTTCAGTTCCGCGCATATTTCATCGTATAAAACGACATCACAGTCTGCAGCCGTTTTTCAAGGGTAACTCGAAGTAAGAGGTGCCTAACTAAGTAAATCCAAAGTCCTTGCGCTTAGAATGGTAGACTAAACCAGCGTTCCAAATTTCGGGCAATACTGACTACTGACTATTTTCCCCGAAGTCATACGTTGAAGCCAGAATAAGGAACTTTTAACTTTTTTTGATCTCCTACTTGTTGGATAAGCCGCTTGATCTTTCAAAAAAAAAGATTATTTCGGTGTGAAAAAAGTCGGACGTCTTCCATTGTAATTCAAATTCCCTTTTTTTATGAGCATTATACATTTTAGGGTGCCTGACGGACGCACTGCGAAGTATGACTTCGTCCAATGTAAGTCCAAAAAGCAAATTTCCCCAACTTTTCAGGGAAGAATCTAAAAGTGACGGAGCGGTTGACGCAAGGAGATGATTGGTACACCTATGCGGAGAGCCGTACCGTATGCCGTCATCCGATCCCAGGCGCCGACAACAAAATGTTTATAGAGTTTAGTTCCGAGCGCGTCGAAGTCATCAAGTTTTACGAGGAGGGAAAGCATCTGGCTGAAGACAAAAGAGGAAACAAGGTGTTCCGCATCATGAGCGATTTCATACGGGTAGGTGTCTCAAAACGGGCGATGTTTTGGATTTTTTGCGTAAAGAAGCCAATCTTCTTTGAATGTTATAAATTTCGTATTTCCAGCACCAACACATCAGCGTGGACAACGTAAAACATTCGGTCATCTACAACAGTTGGATCTTTGTAAACGCCACCCATGCCATAGATTTGAAAAGATACATGTACTTCGACCCGGCGGAAAGTTACAAACTGCGTACACGCGACAGGGTCGGACGTGATCGTCCTGGTCGAATTGATGTACCTTATTGGAGGTAGGAGTGAAAGAAATTGTGACTTTTTTAAAAACTTTTTAGCTATGGAATGGAGCACGTTCACTCGATTCCGAATGAGGACATCCCCATCGAATTTGTGGACATGATCACGAGGAACTGCTTCGTAAGTTTGGGAAAATTTTAAAAAATTTTCTGTTAACCCTTTCCGGACGAGTCGGCACGTATATATTAAAATGAAACAGGGTACCCTACTGAGTAACGGCATAATAGTGGTTCAGCCCATCGAAGCGTTATTTGGGACTTATGACAAAAAATGTCCTAAAAAGTACCCCTACTTGACATATCACTTTTAAAATTTTTGCGACAAGCTGTAAATCGGAAACTACCCCTAAATTAAAGTCGAGGAGTCCTAGTATTGTTACATCCAAGAACTGTCCAAATCGGAGCACCATAGGATTTGTTATCGATTTTTGGAAATTGAGTTTTTAATTTTGGTCAACTTTGGGCCTAAAATCAAGTATATCTTCCGCGGGTATCAACCATTTCGGTCCAAATGTGGTTTTTCCGAATCTATTGTGATGCTAGCTTCTTACTAGAATATTTCCACAAAAAACCTATGAGGCATATTTCTGTAAAACGCGGAAATGTTGAAAGTGTAAAGGTTTGATCGTATAAAATATCGCCGCGAGCCGCGAAGGGACGGGCGCAGCTCGAAACGAGAAAATATTTTAAGATTTTTCGAGAAGTTTGATTTTAGCGTGAAACCAAATTAAACTCGATTGAAATTGCCTGAAAACAGAGTAAAAATATAAAAATGACATTTAGGTTATGTTTGCGTGCTATTTCTGCCTGTATTTCGTGTTGAAATCAGCTTTTCGACACCAAAATAATATTTCTCGAAGAAAAAATTATTATTTTTCGTTTCGAGCTGCGCCCGTCCCTTCGCGGCTCGCGGCGACATTTTATACGACCAAACCTTTACGTTTTCAACATTTCCGCGTTTTACAGAAATATGCCTCATAGGTTTTTTCTGGAAATATTGTAGTCAGAAGGTAGCATCACAATAGATTCGGAAAAACCACATTTGGACCGAAATGGTTGATACCGGCGGAAGATATACTTGATTTTATGTCCAAAATTGACCAAAATTAAAAATTCAATTTCCAAAAATCGATAACAAATCCTATGGTGCTCCGATTTGGACAGTTCTTGGATGTAACAATACTAGGACTCCTCGACTTTAATTTAGGGGTAGTTTCCGATTTACAGCTTGTCGCAAAAATTTTAAAAGTGATATGTCAAGTGGGGGTACTTTTAAGGACATTTTTTGTCATAAGTCCCAAATAACGCTTCGATGGGCTGAACCACTATTATGCCGTTACTCAGTAGGGTACCCTCTTTCATTTTAATATATACGTGCCGACTCGTCCGGAAAGGGTTAAAATTCCTCGAAATCTGTATGGTAATTTCAGGGAAATCCGAACAGATATTGCGCAATTGATCCCAGAGATGGCACTATTCACTACACCCCGTATCCGGCCGTTTTGCGAATGGGAGATTTCATCATGGAACAGCGATGGCAGGAGGTTCTCAATGATTTTGTCCCGGTTTATCGATTCCATCACCTTCACATGCCCGAAAAGTAAGGAATTTGCGGTTTTTCGGGATTTTGGGTATCAAATCATGGGAAATGTTCGAAACTTGAAGCTCAGTTTTTGGCAAAGTTTGTCACAAATTCAGTTTTCATTTTTGTAAAGCATATACAGATTTTTAGTTTGCGCTTTGCAGAGACGGCCGAGATCTTTTGTCCGAAAGTTGGCAAAAATTATTACTACTTGGGGTAAAATAATTTTTAATTTTCGCGGAAATAATATCCCACAAATATTTTTTGCATACAAATCTAAAAACCCCCAACAGAAAAAAACTTACCAACATTGCGAAAACATCAATTTCTACATGGAATCGAAGCCAAAAACGTTGCGAAGAGAGACGCCAAAAAGAAACTACCGTATCCTGAATTTGTTTGTTTTCGTGCCGGGACGCAAAACTAAGCTTGGCGAGAAGCGACAAACGATGTTTTAAAATAGCAACAGTTAACTTGGGGGAATGTAGAAGTCAACAAGAAGTAGGTTGCACAAAATTCAGGTGAAACCTGAGCGTTGCACTTTCAACACCGGCCGTTCTAACCTTTGTAATTTTTTTGTGTTTTCAGCGAAGTCTTTTACTATTCCGATGTAAAACAGCTGTTCTCCGAACTATTGAAGCACGGCAAGCCAAATGACCCCCATATGTAAGTTTCTTTTTAAATCTTCACAGAAAAATGAAAAATTTTTTAGGGATCGTCGTTGGTTCCGCGGAGTGATGCCTCAGCCCAAAGAGGGCGACAAAATTTTTGAGCTGATGATGCAAAGAACAACCACTACGCCGCCTCCTATCCAGCCCACTACTCCACCAACGTCCACCTTGAAACCTCTTCCTCCAGACGCATATAAGCCGATTGAATATCCGTCCATCGATGAAATGGAAGAAGAACCAATGCCAACGCCAGAAATTGCAAGTGAATTAATGCCAATGCCAGAATTTGAAAGAGATGTTGCTTCGGATCTTGTCAGAAACACTGTGGCAATTCTGTTGGCCGTTTTTATGATTACCGTGTAAATAATTAGAATAACAGGATTTGAAAATATTGGCAAAGCTAGGCTGTTTGTTAGCATTTCCATAAATTACATGACACGCCAATCCCAAATAGAAGAAAGATTTCCCGCACCTTTTTGGTGATTCGTTCAAAACGAAATGTCACTATCCGATAGAACGCATTTTCTTGTCTTTATCCTTCCTTTTTGAGAAAAAGCAATTATTTCGGGCGAGAAAAAGTGCCGATAATTTCGCGACATTTCGTCTCTCATTTAAATCAATGAAAACGATACGAAGTTTCGAATGCGCTGGATTGACGTGCATGAACATTTTATCACTTTGGCACTGCGCACCTTGAATTTTTTCCCACCCTTGTAGGCCAACGCACAGTGGGCTTTCCCTTTGCGCACCGTGCAAATCTCAAAAAAAAAACTGAATTTGTCGAACACAGCTGGCTACACTCGAAGTTAATGTCTTTTGCTTCTATGGGTTTCTTAGAAGAGACCCCGCACGGCAACCCGAAGTGTTTCCTGGCTCCTTTCGACACTTCGTCCATTTTGTATCGGTTGAAATCAAACAAAATGCCACAAGAGAATTTTTCGTGGGGTTTTCCGACCGAAAAATATTTTTCTCGGAATTATTTTATTTCTTTTGTCAATTTTGGTACTTCGTTTGGACGAAACTCAAAAGTGGGCGGGAAACATTTTTCTTCTACAGGGTGTTCCGAGAATTGTGGAAAAAACTATTCGTTAATAACTTTTCGCTTGGTGGTCCAATCCGAAAAATTTTTTTTGCATTTTACAGAAAAGTCTTGGAGTTTTTCGAATCAAAAAAAAAATTTTTTTCTTTGATCGGCGGAGACTTCCGTAATCCGCCTTGAATTCGGCGGAATGTTTTTTCCGGAAATGAGGCTGTGAATCGATGTATGTGTAAAGAAAATGAGTGGAAAAAGATCCAGAGGATGAAATATGATATTTATTTTAAATTTTTGTGATTTGGCGGAGACATTTTTTAACCTCGGCGGACGATTCTTCTTCGACTTCGGAGAGTCAAGATTGGCTAAAACCAAAAAGTATGGTTTCCCCGGTGGCATGGCGCTTAAATAAGACTTATTACGTCCTCGGCTGACTGGCAGAAGAAAAAACGGCAATTTGGCGGAGAAATCGGTGGAGAAAAAATTAACCCATTTATGTAATTACGAAAATGATCCGCCGAGCATCCGCCGATAAGAAGAATCATATTTTTTGGTTTATCAGGGCCGTATAAGACCTAGAATTTTAGTTTTCTCATCATAATTTCTTAAATGGGTCGATTTTTTCTACGCCGATTTCTCCGCCGAATTGCCGTTTTTTCATCTGCCAGTCAGCCAAGAACGTAATAAGGCTTATTTAAGCACCATGCCACCAGAGAACCCATACGTTTTTGTTTTACAAGGGAATGGTCCCAACGATCCGTGGGATCCGCAAATGAAACCTAGATATTCTGAAAGAGCAGGTAAAATTTAGTAGGAATCCGTTTTTTCTACTTGCCGAATAAGTCTGTGCGACGAGAAATATCGACGAAAAGAGCCGACCAAAAAATCGAAAGAGAGAAAAGAGGAACCGAAAGGACTTGGAAGGCGTCACCAAATAGTCTAGTGGAAAAAGTTCCACGCACAAATCTTTTGGGGGAGGGAGGCCTTGGAGGTTCGAGCCCACCCGGAGCCGGACATCTCCGGATTTGAACCTACGTGTTCATTACTGTATTCTACAGTTATACAAAAAAAAATTCTTTTTTGTTTAACCTGTTTTACAAGGTTTTTTGCATCCGAAGGCGCGGAAATCACTGGCCATTACCTCTTTTTATGATGCCGCCAGGTCCGAAGTTCCAAAGAAGACAAATTTATGCAAATTTATACCTTCCGGACAGAATTTGACAAAAATAATTTGGGCGTTTGTTAAACACATGTCCACGGCCATTTTAAACCAAAAAACTCAAAATAGATTTTTTCGTAAATATTCACGGGGTCTATGCAAGGACCCAAAAATTCTCTTTTCAACTTTTCTTGCAAAATTTTTATGAAAAGGTGAGATTTTGGCAACATCCTTTTTGGGAAACCGAAAAAGATCTGCAAGATCCTATACAACCTTCCAGAATCGAGTAGAAGTGTCTTGAAAATACCACTATGTCGACATCGGGCTTATCAAAAATATTGCCGAAGTGTCAACTTTTCTTAAAATTTTGCAACAAACCTTGCAAAACATGTCAATAAACAAAAAGAATTTTTTTTGTATAACTGTAGAATACAGTAATGAACACGTAGGTTCAAATCCGGAGATGTCCGGCTCCGGGTGGACTCGAACCTCCAAGGCCTCCCTCCCCCAAAAGATTTGTGCGTGGAACTTTTTCCACTAGACTATTTGGTGACGCCTTCCAAGTCCTTTCGGTTCCTCTTTTCTCTCTTTCGATTTTTTGGTCGGCTCTTTTCGTCGATATTTCTCGTCGCACAGACTTATTCGGCAAGTAGAAAAAACGGATTCCTACTAAATTTTACCTGCTCTTTCAGAATATCTAGGTTTCATTTGCGGATCCCACGGATCGTTGGGACCATTCCCTTGTTAGAAAATTTTGACTCTCCGAAGTCGAAGAAAAATCGTCTGCCGAGGTTAAAAAATGTCTCCGCCAAATCACGAAAATTTAAAATAAATATCATATTTCATCCTCTGGATCTTTTTCCGCTCATTTTCTTTACACATACATCGATTCACAGCCTCATTTCCGGAAAAAACATTCCGCCGAATTCAAGGCGGATTACGGAAGTCTCCGCCGATAAAAGTAAAAAATTTTTTTTGATTCGAAAAACTCCAAGGCTTTTCTGTGAAATGCAAAAAAAATTTTTCGGATTGGACCACCGAGCGCAAAGTTATTAATGAATACTTTTTTCCACAATTCTCGGAACACCCTGTATTTCGGGTTGCCGTGCCCCGCCAATGTTCCTAAAATTTAGACTTTTTTGGAGCTGAGATTCGCTACTCAGCTGATTGAATTTCAAAAAATATTTTGAATCGATTTTTTTTCTTTGCTTTCTCAAAGCCTTAAAAAATTATTTTCGAACCCAAAATTCTCAAACTTTTTGGAATTGCAAATTTCGGCACAAAAAGTTTCGTTTACTCACTGTCCAAACACTTCCTCATCTTGAGAAATTTCGATTTTCAGAGCTCTAGGAGGCCGATCAACCAGCCTTCCTTCAGAATGAAACTTTCGCCCCGATAGAGCGAAAATTCGGGTTTCATGCAAATTTTGCACTAAATGAAGAAATTGAATGAAAACACCAACTTCCTCCGTGAGTTTTTCAATTTTTTCGGAACGACCGTGCTTTCCGTGCACGGTCGCGTCGCGAAAGTACATAACGTTGTGCACTTGGGTACAATTTCGTCAAATTGGTGATCATTCCATTTCTTGTCAGTCTTTGCGAACGATGACTTTGCGTGTGGTCGTTTTTCTTCTTCTCTGGCAGATTGTGGCCCCATTCAATGGAGATCCGACGACTTTTATGAAGGACCAGTGTGAGGAAGGGATGATTTGCCACGATCTGGATGTGGACAGTTTCCAGGACTACGCCGTCGAATTCGTATGGTGAGATTTTGGGTTAAAAAGTTCGCAGGCTATAGTTCAAATTTGGGAAAAGTTCCTTATTCTGGGCGTTAAAACGTTCTCTGCGAGCTGCGCCCAAGCGTGGAAAATGAAGTTTGGAAAAAACGTTTTGACCCAGCTTTTTATGGTTTACTATAGTGTCTATATGCTTTTTAAGTTGCCTCCACAGACTTTTAAGGCTCATTTGGTTCCCACGCGGAAGCAATAAGTTCAGTCCGGAACAGATTTCATCGTATAAAAAGAAACCGCTGTCTGCAGAAGTCTTTTAAGGGTTAGCCTCGAACTGAACTTATTGCTTCCGTATGGGAACCAAATGAGCCTCAAAAGTCTCCGGAGGTAACTTGAAAGCATACGTATAGTTAGTATAATAAGTCAGAGCAAGCTAGATCCAACCATTTCTTCCTAGCATTAGGTTGGGCGCAGCTCGCAGAGTAAATTTTTTATGGCCAGAATAAGGAACTTTTCCCTTGAAATTATTGGAAAAAGTTCCTTTTTTTGGCCACAACAAAGGTACTACGCGAACTGCGCCCAAGCTTGGGCACTAAAGTTAGGAAAAAACGCTTCGACCTAGCTGGCACTGAATTACTATAATAGCTCTATAGTTTTAAGGGTACCTGCGAAGGCTGCGATGACTCATTTAGTTCCATACGGAGGCAATAAGTTTAGTTCCGGACATGTTTCATTGTATAAAGTGTAAAATCACAGGCTGCAGCTGTTTTTGAAGGGTAAGGTGGTACGTAAAAAAGAAGGTACCTCACTAACTAAATCCACTGTCCGGGCATTGACAACGATGAATTGAGCGTGCACGCTAAATTTGGGCTAATCCCGACCAGTTTCCGCAAAGTTATAAGTTGTGGCCAAAATAAGGAACTTTTCCCTTGAAATTATTTTTTATTGTGTTTATTACCTTTTTTTAGGAGGAGTAATAACCTTACCAATTATGAATTTGCCCAATGTAAGTCCGAAAAGCAAATTTCCCCAACCTTTCAGGGAAGAATGGAAAGGCGTCGGAGTGGGTAACGATAGGAGACGATTGGGACATCACAATGATAGGCCGTTTCGTATGCCGTCATCCCATCCCAGGAGCCAACAACGAAGTATTTGTGGAGTTCAGTTCCGAGCGCGTCGAAGTCGTCAAGTTTTACGAGGAGGGAAAGCATCTGGCTGAAGACAATGACAAACACAAATTGTTCCGGATCATGAGCGATTTCAAATTTGTAGGTGTAGTTTTTGCTAACGAGGAGAGTACTTCTATGGGGTACGGAGTGACAGGTCGAGTCATATATAAAAAAATCGCAAAATTTTTCTGATTCAAAATATGTAAAAGTTAGCTGCCTAAGTTTGGTTTGTCAGGGTGAAAAAAATCCTCAGAACTTTTCTCGCAACACCATACAAATTCTGATTTGGTAAAAACTTTGTCAAAAAGGCATCCACGTCAATCCAAAATAGAAGAAAAAATTTCCCGCCCCTTTTTGGTGATTCGTTCAAAACGAAATGTCACTATCCGATAAAACGCATTTTCTTGTCTTTCTTCTTCCTTTTCGAAAAAAAATTATTATTTCGGGCGAGAAAAAGTGTCGATAATTTTGCGACATTTCGTCTCTCTTTTAAATCAATGAAAACGAGACGAAGTTTCGAAACGGTTCAGGAAATGCGCTGGATTGACGTGGCATCTTTTGATCGGTTGAAAAAAAATATTTTCAAGAATGAGCTCTTTTTTCCTCTCGCCCCCTTGCCATTTTGCGCAGAAAAGCCCATCTTCTACCAAAGTTGTAAAGTTTGTATTTCCAGCGCCAACACATCACCCAGGAAAACCTAAAACATTCGGTCATCTACAACAGTTGGCTCTTTGTCAACGCCACCCACGCCATAGATTTGGATAGATACATGCACTTTGACCCGGCGGAAAGTTACAAACTGCGTACATGGTCGACCCGTTGGGGTCGGATTGATGAACCTTATTGGAGGTAGGAGTGAAAGAAGTTTTGACTTTTGTTAAAATTTTTTAGCTATGCAATGGAGCACGTTCACTCGATTCCGAATGAGGACATCCCCATCGAATTTGTGGACATGATCTCGAGGAATTGCTTCGTAAGTTTGGAAAAGCATGTAGAAATATTTTTGTCGAAATTTCTCGAAACTCGTATGGTAATTTCAGGGAGATCCGACCAGATACTGCGCAATTGATCCCAGAGATGGGACTATTCACTACACCCCGTATCCGGCCGTTTTGCGAATGGGAGATTTCATCATGGAACAGCGATGGCAGGAATCGTACAACGATCATATCCCGGTTTATCGATTCCATCACATTCACATGCCCGAAAAGTAAGGGATTTGCGATTTTTGAGGGATTTTGGGTATCAAATCGTCGGTTTTTTTTGAAATCGGAAATGGTCGAGATTGGCCAAAAAGCGACTTTTGTCTGACTGCCCGTTGCGGACTCCCTCGCCGAGTTTATGTTATTTTTCAGCGAAGTCTTTTACTTCTCCGATGCCGCTTTGGTGGTCGCCAAACTAATGGAGAAGAGCAGGCAAAAGAACCTGACGTAAGTCCAGTGCAACAAACGCTTATTTTTAGTGAGGGAAGCTTTGTACGCGGAGTGATGCCTCAGCCCAAACTGGGCGACAAAATTTTTGAGCTGATGATGGAAAGAACAACCACTACGCCGCCTCCTACCGAGTTCAATACTCGGCCAACGCCCACCTTGAAGCCCCTTCCTCCAGCCGACTATAAACGCATAAATTATTCGTCGATCACTGAAATGGAAGAAGAATCAATGCCAGCGATAGAAATTGGAACGGAAGTAGACGCAGCCTCGGACTTCGTAGGGAATGCTGTTGCAATTCTAGTCGCCATTTTTATGATTGCTCTGTAATTTGAAAGTTATTCGAATAAAAAGAGTCTAAAGTATTCACAGAGCGTTCCATTTCTCGTCAGATTTACCCACTGTGTGTCCAAAAATTTTGTCATCTTGGGAAATTTCGATTTTCAGAGCTCCACGTCAAAGAAAAAGTGAAAAAACAAGGAACCTCGGATCATTGATTTTTGACGAAATGTCGCTGAATTATCGAGTCACAAAAGAAAACTTTCCCAGAGAATTTCGAGAAAAATGTTTTTTCGAAGAGGAAAATAATTTTTCAAGCTCGATAATTCCGTGGCACTTCGCAAAAAATCAATGATCCGAGATTCCTTGTTTTTTCAATTTTCTGAAAGAATTATTTTGACGTGAGCTCTGGGAGGCCGCACGTCAATCCAGCGCATTTCCTGAACCCTTTCGAAACTTCGTTTTTCGTTTTCATTGATTTTAGCCGTTTTTATGAAGAGAGACGAAATATCGCGAAATTATCGGCACTTTTTCTCGCCCGAAATATTGCTTTTTCTCGAAAAAGAAGGATAAAGACAAGAAAATGCGTTCTATCGGATAGTGACATTTCGTTTTGAACGAATCACCAAAAAAGGGCGGGATTTTTTTTTTCTATTTTGGATTGACGTGGACCGTTCAACCAGCCTTCCTTCAGAATGAAAACGGCCGCGTCGCAAAATTACATAACGTTGTGCACTTGGGTACAATTTCCGTCAAATTTGTGCTCATTCCATTTCTTGTCAGCCTTTTGCAAGTTGAAAGTTCCCATGATTACAAAATTCGATCATGGAAATTTCGGAAAAAGCTCATAATGTTGAGAAAAGACTAGACAATTGTCTAGTCTTTCCATTTCTTGTCACTCTTTTGCGAACGATGACCTTGCGTGTGGTCGTTTTTCTTCTTCTCTGGCGGGTTGCGGTCCCATACAATGATGATCCCAGCACTTTTTTGAAGGACAAGTGCGACCCAGGCATGATTTGCCACGATCTGGATGTGGACGGTTTTCAGGACTACGCGGTGGAGTTCGCATGGTGAGATTTTGGGTTAAAAAGTTAGCAGGGTCTACTTTAAATTTGGAAAAAGTTCCTGATTCTGGTCAGAAAAAACGTACTCTGCGAGCTGCGCGCAAGCGTGGGAAATAAAGTTGGGAAAAAACGTTTTGATCCGGCTTTTTATGACTTACTATGCTGTCTATATGCTTTTTAAGCTGCCTCCAAAGGTACAAGTTCCTTATTCTGGCCACAACTTATAACTTTGCGGAAAATGGTCAGAATTAGCCCAAATTTAGCGTGCAGGCTCAATTCATCGTTGTCAATGCCTGGACAGTGGATTTAGTTCGTGAGGTACCTTCTTTTTTACGTACCCTCTTACCCCTCAAAAACGGCTGCAGGCTGCGATTTTACACTTTATACATACGATGAAACATGTCCGGAACTAAACTTATTGCCTGCTTATAGAACTAAATGAGCCGTCATCGCCTTCGTAGGTACCCTTAAAACTATAGAGCTGTTATAGTAATTCAGTGCCAGTTAGGCCGCAGCCTTTTTCCTAACTTTAGTTCCCAAGCATGGGCGCAGTTCGCAGAATACCTTTCTTGTGGCCAAAATAAGGAACTTTTCCCGCATCCAAAGACGTTTTTTTTGCTCCCAGAGTAAGAAGCTTTTCTAGTAAAATTATTTTTCTTGTGTTTATAACATTTTTTAGGGTGGATGGTCCCTATATCAATTATGAATTCCTCCAGTGTAAGTCCGAAAAGCAAAATTGTCCCACTTTTCAGGGAAGAACCAATTAGCGACCGAGAGGTTAACGAAAGGAGACGATTGGGGCGTGAAAGGGAAAAGTCGTACCGTCTGTCGTCATCCGATCCCGGGCGCCGATAACAAAATTTTTGTGGAGTTTATTTCCGAGCGCGTCGAAGTCATCAAGTTTTACGAGGAGGGAAAGGAGCTGGCTGTAGACAACTATAAAAACAAGGTGTTCCGCATCATGAGCGATTTCATAGGGGTAGGTGTCGTTTTTACTCAAAACAGGCAATGTTTTCGATTTTTTGCGTAGAAAAGCCAATCTTCTTTGAATGTTGTAATGCACGTCAGAATGAAAATAGAAGAAAAAAGAAATTTCGTGAGGGGCCGCAGCGAAAAGCAACAACCGATTTTTTCCTTCTTTCTCTGACCGCTCTCTTCCTTTTTGTGCGTGCGCCCTCTTCCTCTCGCCACTCGGCGAAAATAGCACTAGAAAGGAAGAGAGCCCGATTTCTTTTCGAAATCTAAACAGAGAAAAGCGGGGAAGTCGTTATTTCGCGGATCGCCACGGCTTTGACGAAACTATATTACCTTTGTGTTGTGACACGTAATGTTTATTTCCAGCGCAGACACATCACCATGGACAACCTAAAACATTCGATCATCTACAACAGTTGGCTCTTTCTCAACTCCACCCATGCCATAGATTTGGACAAATACATGCACTTCGACCCGGCGGAGAGCTTCAAACTGCGTTTAGACACGAACCGTTGGGGTCGGCTTAATGAACCCTATTGGAGGTAGGAGTGAAAGAAATTTTGACTTTTGTTGAAATGTTTTAGCTATGGAATGGAACACGTTCACGCGATTCCGAATGAGGACATCCCCATCGAATTTGTGGACATGATCACGAGGAATTGCTTCGTAAGTTTGGAAAAACATGTAAAAATCTTTTTGTCGAATTTTCTCTAAATTCGTATGGCAATTTCAGGGAAATCCTAAGAAATACTGCACAATTGATCCCAGAGATGGCACAATTCACTACACCCCGTATCCGGCTGTTTTGCGAATGGGAGATTTCATCATGGAACAGCGATGGCAGGAGGTGTACAACGATTCTGTCCCGGTTTATAGATTCCATCACATTCACATGCCCGAAAAGTAAGGGATTTGCGAATTTTGGGTATCAAATAATGGGGGGTTTTTGACACAAGAAATTCTTCTATACCGGAAAATGCGAGGTTTATAAAAAGGTGATATCTTTGCGGAAAATTGGCCGAGATGTGGCCAAAAAGCGATTTCTTTCTGACTGCCCACCTCTCGCCGATAAGTTCGTTAATTTCATATTTTTCAGCGAAGTCTTTTACTTTTCCGATGCCGCTTCGATGGTCGAAAAACTAAAGGAGAAAAGCAAACCAAAAGACAATATGTAAGTCGCTTTCTTAGTCTGCACACGTCAATGGAAAAATTTAGGACTGGATTTACGATCCGCGGAGTGATGCCTCAGCCCAAAGAGGGCGACAAAATTTTTGAGTTGATGAAGCAAAGAACAACCACTACGCCGCCTCCTATCCAGTCCACTACTCCACCAACGTCCACCTTGAAACCTCTTCCTCCAGACGCATATAAGCCGATAAATTATTCGTCGATCAGTGAAATGGAAGAAGAAACAATGCCAGCGCTAGAAATTCGAAAAGAAGTAAAAGCAGCCTCGGATTTCGCAGGGAACGCTGTTGCAATTCTAGCCACCATTTTTATGTGCTCTGTAATTTGAAAGTTACTCGAATAAAACGAGTTGAAAATATTCACAAAGCGGTTGTTTACTGAGAGAAGAAAAAAACTCACCAGCGCGCTGCACCGTTGCAAAAACATCAATTTTTACACAGAAAAACAATAAAAACATTGAGAAGAAGCAAAACTACCGTATCCTGAATTTGTTTGTTTTCGCGGCGGGACGCCAAACGAAGCTTGGCGAGAAGCGACAAACGGTATTTAAAATAGCATCAGTTAACTTGGGGAATGTAGAATTGTTTGAAAATTAAAGGACATAAGATGAAAGTCAATGGCACTTTCAATATGGGACTTTTCGAAAAAAACTGGCGAAGATATGATCAACAAGTGTTTTTCTCTGTGACCGCTCTCCACTTCATCTCTTGGCGGCAAAGATCGTTTAATTTCTCGGCCGCGGTAGTGTCCGAATTTGAAAGAAAAGTAGCTTGTCAGAAACGCTGTGATAAATTTTCAAATGCAAACTTAATTTTGAATTGAACTTTTAATCTTGGAAAATGTTGTTTGAAGCAAAGCTGTTGGTCTCATTTGAAAAATGAAAGCGACTTCGTTCGGTTGGATTGTTGTTTTGCTATGGGCTACTGTTCAGAGTCAACCAGGCGCAATGTAAGCATTTTAATAGTCCATTTGCAAAGTCGCTGAAGTGATTTTCGCGACATTCACTGTGCGAGAACAAAAGTTTACTTTGCACCGTGCAATCGGCTTTTTTAGGCTGTCGCTCGTTTCTGCACAGTGCACGTTACCGAAGTCACTCCAGTGACTTTAGAAGGGACTAATATTTGAGGAAGTAACGGACGGACCAAAAAGCCCAAGTCTTCGCACGGTGTGGTCAGTGTCGCGAAGTGGTGTTGCGCGACGACAAACAATCAGCACAGTGCGTGCTAAAAGCGCGTTGTGCAGATTCATTTGCGCGACAAACACTTTGATCGTCCTTTTCGAACAAATTATGTGCGTAGTCACCGGATTTTTTGGCCCGCCTAGTTCAATTATCAGTCTGTCGGGAAAATAGTGAGCGTCTGTCGCATCGAAAATGGCATCGCCGCCGAGAAAATTAATTGTGTCGAAAAACAAATTGCTTTTCACTTCAGCGATTGGCGCAGCGACAGAGCACTCACCATTTTCCCGACAGATTGATACCTAATTATTCACTTTACAGTTCCGATGAAAAAATCGACAAAGTTCGAGACGTTTTGATGAAGTTTAAAGGAGAATGTAAGTTGCATTTTCAACTCCATAAATGTAAGCATCCTTATAACTGGACCCGTTTCCCGCCCTTCAATTCTACGGTACTTTGCTATTCTTTTATAGTTTTTTATGACCGTACATCCACCGCTTGAATTTCAGACCTCAACCGTTGGAACTTCTTATCCCGCGCTTGGGACCACTGCAGAAGGGTCTCAAAATACGAAGAGGCGAGGCACGTCAAGAAATTGCGGGCATTGCAAAGGTTCTCACAGCGAAAAAAAATTCATAAAACCTGTCATCCAAATTGCACATAACAATAATTTTTAACCTAATTTTTTTATGGGAACTCTAGGGAGTACTACTAGTCGTATACAACTGTTTTTTATACCGCTGGTACATTCTAAATGGGTGTCATCGTGACGCATTTTCTGAACATGGTTCGAGCTAGGCTAAAAATAGTGCAAATTTCAAGGCCAACTATCAAAAAAACTGTCCCATCAAGCGGGACGGGACCGGTGTAGATACTCGAAGAACAGTTTAAGGATTTTTTTGACGTGGAGCCTATACCTCCTTCCAGTGCTCTCTGACTCGGTATCGTCGATACAAACTTTTATTTAGACGTTGTATTCTTCGCCATGGAAAACTGTCAAAATACTACGATTATGGGTATATTTTGGTTCTATTAGCTTAAGCAGCCCTCGAGCTTTCTATTGGTATCAATATCTTGTGATTTACTATTAATCTTTATGTCAAAATATTGCAAACCATTTGGACAAAAACGGATTTGCACAGGGCAGAATGCCAAAAAAAAATCTAGGCTTTTTCATTGGGCGCCCGTTTTTCTTTTATTTTTTCTTGACGTGCGAGGACAAAGGTAGAAAATGAGATTGCCAAGATCAAGAAGTCTGGGGATGACTTTTGCCGGTAAGTATTCTTTCTCAGAAAATATGTAACAAAGAATGGGTCAAAATTCTTCGATAATTTTTGAGCCAAGATAAACCTTTGTACAGCGAAACTCTTGTATAAACGAATAAATTGGTTGATCCCTTGAAACTCGCTGTTCAAAGGCTTGACTGCATAAAATAGCTGTTAAAATTCCGTTTCAGCATAATGGACCTGCACCGAGACTTTGCCTGCGAACGTCTCCAAGTATACACTTGCCGACGTTTCACCCGCTACTTTCTATACGAATACACTTCCAAATATTTGGACCAAATGCAACGGAGTGGCATCAATGAAGTCCAGCAATGTCAAACTTTTGAAAATGCGATAAACCAGGAGCTGTTTGAGCACAATCTGAGAGTGGGTGGAGTGTACGTGGGGATTTATACAGGCGAAGTAGTTTCACATGAGATCGAATTTTTGCAATTCCCGGAACGGTTCTGCAAGAATGGTCAAGATGTCACCAAGGCTGCTATTGATCGCTATGAGAGTGAATAAAAGTATTATATTATATCATTGTATGTCTTCAGCCGTATACATGTATATGCTAGCATTGTGAAATAAAGAAGAGATTTAAAATACATATTTGGATGCAAATGTAGTATTATACTTTGTGCATTTGCCTTGTTTAAATCAAGACAAGATAACGTTCCGGCATATTGTATAATAATATAGATGATTGGTCCTTGAGTTCTCTGTCACTTACACACGAAGTCCATAATTTTCATGCCACCCGAGATGCACGATTTTCGGGATTGGCAGGTTCATGGACATACATAGTAATGGGATTATCATTAATTAATTGAATTATTGGGAATGTGACATTTCCCCATCTTTTGGTAGGGAATGCTCGTTAAATTTATTCAGACACTTTAGAACATAGACGATTACTGTCCGCCTCAAGCAAGATCAACAAACAAAAGGGTAAGGCGACATTGTTGACTCAAAGAGGCCTTACGATATATTCATTCAACGTTTCGCAGTGGATAAAAAATGTTGGATGCTAGCCGGAGTAGGCTCGTCAAGCGTTCTTTTACGACTTATCACTCAATTTTGGCGAAATGTACCGGTCCTGGTGAAGACCTTGAACCGGTTCTAAGCGCCACTAGTTTTGCCTTCAACTCAGCTACAAATTCAGCTTCTCAAGTGCCACTAAACTTCTACTCATCTAATTAACCAATCAACAATCCGGCATGATGTCACAAATTTATTTATTGCTCTTCGTTCGGAATACGCGAGATAAATCTATCTAGACTAACCTACAGAAGCGATTATATAATCATTTTCAGAAACAAGCGCCGCCCCTTACTTGCCGCATTATTATTTGGTCTATGGACGGGATCCGCAGTTCGTTGCGGATATGCTTCTCAAATCACAATCCGTCTCTTTCCCCGATACTACGACAATGTAGGTCGCCTAAACGACGACAAATGTTGGTCGGGATTTGCCGGGTAGACAGAGTTACGAACCTCCCGGATTCATATTTCCGTACATTTAACCACAAAAAGCCCCAGAGAAACGGCCTTTAGGTCAGCTGAAGTCATTCCTCGGGACGGTCGAACCTCTTGAAACAGCACTGGCGGATCAGTCAGAAAAGTTGCCGGCGCCATCATCAATTACGCACAACCCCACTTATTGATACAACTTCAGACGGCACCGCTAGAATTCAGAATCGCTAAAAAACATAGTTGAGGGCCAGCGCGGCCCCGAGGCAACGGGCAGGGTTCGCCCTGGGTAAAGCGGATAAAGAGACCGCTGATGCCCGAGGGCGCGCACTCAAACCTTTTTGGGTCGGCTTGGACATCCTTAGCTTCAGCTGCAAGCGATGTATGACCCTGAGGTCCTAGTTAATTTCGCTAGTCGTGCCCCCGAGATTTACGCAATTTATCTATGAAATATGAGGCTCCTTGTGACCCTGAGGTCCTTTTAAATTACGACGTATCCACTCCCGCTCTTCTGTGGACTTAGTGGGACAATGGCTGGCATTGATTCAGTAGTTTAAACACTGATTTGGAAGACGCAACAATATTTGCGCCGGTCCGGATCACGAATGCCCGTTTTCTGGCCCTTTTGTATTGGCGTGTTTTTCCATTCTTTCGCCATCTCTCCGGCCTTCGATCCCGCCAGGTTTCTAGTTGTTTGGCCACTTTAAAACCAGCATGCATTCCAAAACATTTTTTATTTTTTCGCTTCTCTTGAAGTGAGATTAGTATGGGTCAGTACGATATTATTACGGACGAAATCGCCTCGCGCCAATCGTAAAGACTATACACCAGCACGGTAGGTGTATCTCCGGTGCAAGAATGACGCCGTAGACAATCGAAAACAAATGCTTTTATCATAATTAAGGGAAGTTCCGCGATCATGGTATCACTATTTCATAGCGGTCAAAAACAATTTTGCATAATGTAACTATTATATTTTACGTTCTTGTAGATAATTCTTGCCATTTTAAAATAAAATGGGATTAATTCCTACGCACGTGTCTCCCTCCTGCACCCGAAAATGTCGTGTTTTCCGAGGTTTCCGACCTGGAGTCAGCCTTCAAAGGCTTTTGTGGTTCTTGTATGTAGCGCTCTCTTCGTGTACGTGCCATATTTATCCTTGTATAAAATAAATAATATACTTATATAAGGGACAATGATAAATATTACCTTACGAAGTATTGTTGTTTGTATACTAAAGCACAATACACAAAACACAGTAGTACTACAAAATGACCTATAGGTGATCCTCTGGTTTAACGTTCTGAATGAGGCGTTGATGCTGACTTATATAGTGCTTGATCCAAGGCCGGGCGTCCAGCGATTTTAAGGCCGTTCCCGCGTACTGTGTGCGCATCCGTTGTAGTTTATTGCAGGATTACGCCAGTTCGTCGAAAATATTGGTGACCCAGCGGGCTTAGCACCTGCCATAACAAGATTACCAGGTTCAATGGAACGAGTTGGGATTAGTCAAAGATAATGGGCGCAAAAGTTGTCCCCTTCAAAACCAGTGAAATTATTCCTCAACACATCCAATGTCTGACAAAATTACTAATTACTGATAAATTACTGAGCGGTTTCTCACGAGGAAAGCAACTGAGGCATAAAAGAAGGACCAATTGTATAGTGATCTATACTAGTGTCTTAACATTGTTATATCATAAAACAAATATTCTAAAATACCATTTGGCTTGCCTCCAAGAACACCGATCTCGTAGTTCTCGTTGAACGTAGCGACGTCTAACGATAATACATGCAAAGTACATGGAGCTCCACATAAAATCCCAGCTAAAGCCCGTAAACCGCGTCATCATAAAATATTTATTACGCCCAGGGCCCTCAAGCACTGGCATTTTGCGTATTGCGATAAAAGGCTGTATCACATCAACATGCATGTTGTCAAAATTCTTACCCAAGCAGGAATACTTCTGTATTAAAAACGTTCATGTATTATATCGTAATATATCATCATCAAACAAACATGAATATTTTTTTAGAGAATCAACAAAAAATATATCTTATTATATATGTACATAGTAAAACTTATGATTTCTGCACAAAGTTAAAACATCACAATATTAATAAGCATTTAATATTATATATATAGTTGATATAACATATAAATTTTGTTTTTAAATTCCCTCAAACGCAGCAATTCTCGGCGGATCTTGTCCAAAGTAAGCGCAAAATCCCACTCAAAAAATGCCAAATTTACAAGGTACCCCAAAAGCAACGCTCTCCCTCTATGGTAAAAATAGGAAAGAAACTTTTTGCGCTGAGATTCCGTAAAAAGTGTCAGATTTTCGCCGACTTTAGATCTAAAAAACTCATTTGTTTCTGCAAAGCGCGAGCTAGGATTCTCGCATAAATTTTAGAAAAAATATTCTAAATTTGTGCCAATTTTCTTCGAAATATGAGCCGCACTTGGGGTACTTCAACTGTAAGTTTGGACTGAATTTGCCGCTTTTGACAGGACTAAAAAAATAAAATTTTCAAACCGCCTCCGATATGTGTTTTATACCGGCAAAAAAATGAATTTTACAAGTAAAAAATCAGTGGCAAAAAACGCACCATTTCGCATCCGTGAAGTATCAAAAAGTCTGACAAAATGCCTCCCTCTCCAACTAAAAAGCCTCTGTTTTGAAGGGCCCTCACAAAAGTAGCAGGCGAGCTTCCGAAATCAGGTTTTTTTCACTTGAAGAGGGAGGTATTTGCTACATTTTTTATGCTTCCCGGATGCAAAAAAAATACGTTTTTGATCACTGGATCAGGTCCCACTGTATAACGAACTGATAAAATTTTTGAATAAGCCACGATACATCGAGACGTCTGTACATTAATAAAGGCTATCCACATCATCTCAAACTATAATATTACGTAGATTCCTGATTGTGAGACAAAATCCCACTAACCCCTGTTTTTTCCACAAGAAAAAGCGGGAAGCCCACCAATGGCCTAATCCTTTGGCCGTTTTACGTTTCGATTTCTTTTTATCTCCGAATCAAATCGATGCGTCCATAATATCAAAACAAACAGTTATCACTTCCCGGACTGTGGGAAGTGATAGCTGTGTCGGCGGAGGCTAGGCAAAGGCTCGGCGGAGACTTGGCGAAGACTTGCAATATGCGCATTTTTTCTTATTTTAGCTATTAATGACGTTAGCTTTCCTTACCCTGAGCTATTGTAACATATAAAAGACCAAAATTCGCGGCAAAAAACGAAGATCCGCACGTCAATCCATAATAGAAGAAAAAATTTCCCGCCCCTTTTTTGGTGATTCGTTCAAAACGAAATGTCACTATCCGATAAAAAGCATTTTGGCAATATTTTGGCATTGTGTTTTTGGCCATATTTGACCCCTTAGGGCAAAAACTAACGTCATAACTTGGCTCGCAGTACTCGAATTAGTCCAAATACTTTTTAAAAATCAAAAATCGGTCAACTTATGCCTGAGATATGGTTTCCAAAATGTGCCCAGTAGTTACTATAAGGATGAAAAACCGATTTTGAAGGTTCAAAAAAGGAGTTTTTGGAAAATATAATCTTCAATAACTCTGGTAGCGGTCCATGGATTTGGATGAAACTTGGCGAAATTATAACTCACGGCATGAAAATTCTCTGTGCAAATTTTTAAATTTTTCCGTCCATCATACTATGAGTTACCGTAGTAGATGGATTACTGTAGAAAAATCAAAATTTTAATTTTTAGTGGAAAATGTCCAGCAGTCCTTGGGGAATGAGAATATGTGAAACTTAGAACTATTTCTGAAGCTTGATATTGATTTTTGGACGATTTTCTGAGTTTTCCCCGATATTATCCATGATGATTTCGTCCGAACTAGGACGAATTGAGCGGCGTAAAAAGTGTTGACATGTTGGAAATGTAATAAGAATATAAGAACCACAAGAAGATTGATGATTTAAAAATAATATTCATGTTTTCTACACGTTTTTGAGATTTTTGATGATTTTTTGATTTTTTGGAAGATGGAAAATTGAATCACAGGTAAGAAGGTCGTGAAAGTAAATTGAAAACATCAGACAGGCCATTTGATTGTCAAATCCATCGCCAGACTCCAGGAAAAACCAATGCATAGCATTTGAGAAGGTAAATTATATTATCCATGACATCTGGATAAAAATTCTCCAATTATTCATCATTATTGGTCATAAATTGAGCCGGTTGCCCATTTATAACAAAGAACATACCAATATCCTTATGAATATACAGGTTTAAGCCAATGGAAGGTCGGGGATTTGTAATGAAAAAATATTTTGGACAAAATTAGTTGAAAAAGAGTGAAACACTGTTCAAATTTGACTAAAAGTTAACTTTTAAAAACTTTTTCGATGTATTTTGTCATTGCCAGTAAGGTTCTAAGTAGTAAATGAGGTTTTCCTGTCTTACAAACCGCTTTTACTTCCAAAAACAAAAAATTTTTTGCTCAAAACAGAATGCCAAAAAAAATTGGCACCCCAATTTTTCGTTTCAAGACAAAAATTAAAAAATTTTTTTTTGAAGGGGCCGGGCCCAAATTTTTTCAGGCCCCACGGCCCGGCCCGAAAAACCAACCCTAGGCCCCACGGCCCGGCCCCCGGAACGTTGGGCCCGGCCCGGCCCTTTTCAAAATTTCCAAAGCCCGGCCCGGCCCCCCTGCCATGTCTGAAATAATCCATTTCTTACTTTTACCCGATAGAAATATTTCATCGTATAAAATGTCCCTATTTTCCGAAAAGACTTTTTCCGTTTCTTGTTTGCCTAATTTTTGTGACGATTTCGGGCCAGAATTTGCGTCTCCCATCAAAGTTTTTACGGTTAGAGCAATAGAATCTCCGATTTTATCTCCTTTCTCAGTTTGATCAGATCGCCGAATCGAATAGGCCTAAAACAAGGTCCGGAAAAGATGTCGATTGCCCGGACACCGTTTCTAATTGGAGTAGCTGGTGGAACAGCTAGTGGTAAGGTAAGTATTTTTTATTTTATTGTTTCTTTCTGGCTTTAGGAGGTTTGAATTGGAAGAAATCTGAACGTCAAGTGTAATATCGGGAGATCTCTGGATTTTATGCACGTTCGCTATTTCGAAGGTTCGCGAAGGGGGTTTGAACCTTTTCCAAAGTCTTTTCGATATTTGTATAGCAGGAAAACAGCGCATATTATACTGAATTTTGTTTTTGATTGATTAGTTCTGTTGTACTAGGTGTTGTTATAAAGTGCGCAAAAAATATCTCGAATTGATCTTATATCTTGGCGGAAATAGCTTGCCTATGTTCTCACTGCTCTGCAGAAGGAGCTGCGATGAATTTATTATAGTATTCTTCGATTTAGAAGGGATTTTTACATTACACTTGACTTTTTCGGACTTTCTTCTTTAAACTCTTGTTTTGAGCGTCATTTTAAGCTGAATGATGGTAAACATTGTGACAGCAGCATGTTGTAGCTTCTCTAGAAGTTTTACCTTGATATTCGCAGTTAACTTTCAGTTCTGACCAATTTTCGATATTACACTGGATATTAGACTCAATTTTTTCGAATTTTGCCTCCCTTATCATTCGTTTTTTTCAGACATCAGTATGTCGTCTAATCATGAGCCGGCTCAGCAATACCGAAGCCCGCAAGAGGGTTGTGGCCATCTGTCAGGACTCCTTCTACAAAGATTTGACGACCGAAAGTGACCGAAAGAAGGCTGAGAAAGGAGAGTACAATTTCGACCATCCGAACGCTTTCGACAACCAATTGATGCTTCAAATTCTGAAGGATCTTAAGGCCGGACTCCCTGTGAAAGTCCCGAAATACGACTTCTGCACCAACTCAAGGTGAGTTTCTTTTACTTTTTTGTTTTTCGATTTTTAGGAGATCAATTTTTGTTGGAGTTTTGCATAAACAACGTCTAAAATGTTGTTTACAGAGTGAAAGACGATTTTTCCTCTATCGAATCGGCGGATGTTGTGATTGTTGAGGGAATTTTGATCTTCTACGACCCGGAACTGCGGAACATGTTCAACGTAAAGCTGTTTGTTGACGCGGACCCGGATATTCGTCTGGCTAGACGCGTGGAGAGGGACACAATGGAACGTCAGAGGAACCTCAACCAAGTTATCCATCAGTATTTGGGGTTGGTGAAGCCCGCGTTCGAAGAGTTTTGTCTGCCCACCAAGAAGTATGCCGACGTCATCATTCCAAGAGGCGCTGACAACGAAGTGGCCATCGATCTGATTGTGAAACATATTGAGGACATTCTACGAACACCCAGACATTCTCCAGAGCCCAAAGAAGTGGAGCTACCACCGGTTTATGTGGCATCAAACGACGGCGGAATCCAGCAGGTTTCTCGACCTCATTAAGGGCAATTTTGCTCGATTTTGAGCAATTTTCTCGTGGTTTTTTGATGTATCTTGCTCATTCTAGGTCTCTCATAGCTCTACGTGTCTTATTTCACCAAAGTTTTCAGGTATTCTTAAAGAAATTTGCATATTTTTTGAGATTTTTTAAAATTTTACCTGATTTTTCCTTCCTCTCAAAAGATCTTTCCATTTCCCCTAATTTTTGTAACTTTTACAGTAATATTATATACCATAGTGACTAACTAGCATTCCTCTGTCTTATTATTGTTGATTTTATAGAATAAAACTTATTGTTTTGTCGATTTTCGGGTCGATTTTGCTTCCCCATTTGAGTTCATGGTTAATGTAACCGAAATACTGGAATTTCTCGCTGATTTTGATTGCTTATTGCCAACCTTTCGCTTATCACTCTGCTTGGGACCTTAATGAGTATTGGTGAACGGAGATTTTTCACCAATTTTTTGGCGTTTTAAAAGAATTTTGAATTTTCGGCCGATTTTTGATGATTTTTGGGATTTTTTTTGGTTTTTGTTGCAAGTCTCGGTGGAAAAAGACTGAATTCTTTTGATACACGTGTAATAAACAGCTATATCGAATTTCAGGTTACCCATTCCAGGACCCCCTTCCATCTAGGGGTGTTTGATGCTAAAATTCCCTGGATTCCTCAAACAATTCCCGGGATTTCGGTAATTTCTCTAATTTCTTGGTGTGTTGTGCCGTTTTTTGTAGCAAAAATTGTTTGCTTATGTTTTTAACAGTCTGTGAGGGAAATATCGACGGTTTTTTCACCTATTTTTTGTTGGAAAATTTGACTTTTTCGGAGATTTTTCAAAATTTTTTGGTCAAGTGTAATATAATGGTGATTTATGGAGAAAAAAGTTTTAAACATGGGAAAAAATTGATGATCATTGTAGATTAGGGAATTTAGAGTGGGTTGAAACAAAAATTTACCGAATTTTCCTGCGAATTTCTAGAAATTTCGCCCATTTTCTCTGGATCCTCACGAAAAATCCGGTCCCTTCTTTGTCTCGACCTTTTTCGTTCGCTTTTCTTCTGTTCGCACCCTCAATTTCATCGCATTTCATTGCTCACTCTGCATAATTTATCTTGCGAAAGCTTTTTGTAAGTTGTGGAAATTTTGGCTAGCCTAAAAAGACATTGTTTTAGAGGGGTCATCGGATTTTTGATGAAAAAGTTGGAGAAAATGGAAAATTTCGGAAAAATCATGAATTTGAGTTGAAAAATCATTACTTAAAAATAATTTACAAGGCATCTAAATTATTTTTGAACTATATTTTACCCTTTGGCTGGTCAAAATCATCAAAAAATTTCCATTTTTCCGCAAAAATTTCCATTTTTTGGCGAAAAATTGCCTAAATCATGAATAACTCGATATTTTCAGAGCATTCCAAGTCCTCTACGGTGCCGATCGGATGAAAAATGACAACCAACAGCAACGCGAACAGTTCCGCGAAGCCAATCAGCAGCTTTCGGTTGTAAAATACAACATCCCGCAGGCCTTCCAAGATGTCTTTCAAATAGAAAAAAATCCCCAAAAGGTGGTCCGCAAATTGGTGTGCGCGTCTTTGGTGGACTCCCTAGTACAGTTAGCACCGAATGAAAAGAAAGAAGTTGTAAAGAAAGGTTGGTTTTGGCAGCATTTTTTTTGATTTTGTTACCTAAAATAAGGAAAAAGTGTTGAAATTACAAAATTTGGGATTTTTGGAGCGAATCTGTAGTGAAATTTGCGGGCCAATCGAAATTTCAGCGTATTTTAGATTTCTAAAATGACTTTTTGGGTCAAAAATTGACTTTTTTGGGTCAAAAATTGACTTTGTTACCTAAAATAATATCGATTTTTTCGAAATTTTTTGAAAAAATAGGGTTATTAAGCTCTTGATGACTTGAAAACCATTATTTTATGTTGAAAGACGACGTATTTTACCTTTTTTTGAGCAAAAAATCAACTTTGGTACCTAAAATAATATAAAAATTTTTGTTGATTTTTGTTAAAAATTTAGTCAAAATTGATTGGAAAAGTGACCGAAATTGCTAAACCCATCGTATTTTACCTTTTTAGACCATTTTTTCCCCAAAAACCGTCTTTTCATGTTGTCGTTGTAGAACCCAAAAATTGATATCAAAATGAGTTTAATTTTTGAGATACTTGTGGTCGAAATGGCCTAATAAGAGTCTAATTTCAGCCATAGTCGCCGTTCTCTCCCGTGCCGACGTCTTCTCCCCGGTTTATATGTCCGATGATCTGCAGAAGTTTCGAGACCCATTAACCCAAGTGATCAACTCATTTGTTACCAGCACCACCTCATTTTTCCCGCTCAGTGTTCTGTCGCCAAGGATTGACGCCTCGTAAGTTCGATTTTGAGGGATTTGGAGGTGTTTTTGAGATTTTCAAGTTTTCGTGGTGGGACCGAAAATTTTTGAAATTTTGTTTTTTCAAAGGGAAATGAGATTTTTGAGGAGGGTTTTGAATTGGAAAAGACTTTTATGATGTGATTAGATGATATTTCAGCATAATTTCGCATTTAAAAAAGATTTTTAGGTCCCACCACGAAAACTTGATTTTCTGAAAAATCCCCCGGAAATTACGGAATTTCATGGGAAATGGGACAAAATGTCCATAGAAAATTTTATTTGATTTTTTTTCAGATTGTCCTACAGTATCGGCGACTTTTCGATAGTCTCCAGCAGATATCGCCAGGATTTCGAGGAAATCGCGGACATTGGATCTGGCGGTTTCGGACGTGTTTATAAAGTTAAATCCCGACTGGATGGCAATTTTTACGCGGTGAAGAAAATTCCGCTGAGAAGCGCTCAAACGGATGTGCTCAGCAAAGTACGGGAATTTTTGAATTTTTTTGATTTTTTGGATTTTTTTGAATTTTTTTTATGGATTTGGTGGGCTAAAATAATATCAGAAGAGCTGTTTTAGACGGTAAAGGAGTGCAAATACCACGCCAGCCTTCAGGACCCGCACATTGTCCGGTATCATAATGCGTGGGTGGAACTGCACAGTATGGAAAATTTTGAAAGTCCAAGGTAAGAAAGGGATTGGAAATGTTGGACAGGGCTTTTTTAAGAAATTTGGGGACGAATGGGATGGAATGGAGTGAAATTTGAGTGGATCCGGGGCGATTTTCGAGAAGAATTTACCTTGTTTTATACAAAAATGGGTGGTTTTTGGAGAAAAATGATGATTTTTGGTTGGAAAATGAAAAAAATGAGCTTGAAAATGGGTGAATTTGGATGTCTATGGACTGTTGTTTAATTTAGAATAAGGAAAACTTGATAAAATTTTGAATTTTTAAGAGAAAATGCTATTTTTAAAATTTTTCTTGTAATTTCTTTGACAATTTTTAACCTTTTTTCAGAGTCTCAACTGCTCACCAGTCCACAGCCTCACTTTCCGAGCCCTTTTTCGAACCGAATTCGGAAGCTTCGGACAGTTTGATCAGGTTTTCGAATGACTCCCATGCCCGCTCAACCCCAATCAAAGAAGCAACCTCCGACGAATCGACCTCAGAATCCTCGGAAGCCTCATCCGAAGAGAAAGAAGGAGGATCCAGCGGAAATTCGAGCGATTTCTCGTCCTCAAATGAGGTGAAGGAAGTGGCGGTGAGAAGAAAACGATACTCCAGATCATCACATTCCAAATGGGAAACTGTTCAGGTAAGGTTTGGTAGGATTTTTGGGCTATTTGGACAGTGGAAAACAAGATTTAAAATTTTTTTTGTTTTTTTTTTTTTTTTATTTTTTTTTTATTTTGGACTGTGCAGACCTATGTTATTTTTTTGAACTGTGAAGTCAATTTCAGAAATTTTCGCACAGTGCAGATTTTTGCGTCAACTTTTTTGGCCTTGCACTGTGCGAAAATTTGCAATTTTTTTGGTCTTGCACTGTGCAAAAATTTTTGTTCAAGGTAGTTGCACCGTGCAGATTTTTTGGTCTGTTTTTTCGCACTGTGCAGGCGGTTTTTGAATTTGGCACGGTGCAGATTTTGAGCCAATTCTTTTTGGTCTTGCACTGTGCGAAATTTTTTTGTCCGATGTCGTTGCACTGTACAACCAATTTCATAAATTTTCGCACAGTGCGAAGCAAAAAATCAATTTTTTGGTCGGCACCGTGCAGATTTTTGGTCTGTTTTTTTGCACCGTGCAGACATTTTTCGAAATTTTGCACGGTGCAGATTTTGAGCCAATTTTTTTTGGTTTTGCACTGTGCGAAAATTTTTTGTCCGAGGTCGTTGCACTGTGCAGATGTTTTGTTCTAATTTTTCGCACTGTGCAGAAAATTTTTGAAATTTTGCACGGTGCGGATTTTGAAGCGCTTTTTTTGATTTTGCATTGTGCGAAAATTTTTTTTCCGAGGTCGTTGCACTGTGCAGATGTTTTTCTAATTTTTCGCACTGTGCAATTTTTGAAATTTTGCATCGTTGCACTGTGCAACCAATTTCATAAATTTTCGCACAGTGCGGTGCAAAAAATCATTTTTTTGGGCCTTGAACTGTGCGAAAATTTGCACAGTGCAAGGCCAAACTGTGCAGATTTTTCTATTTTTTCGCACTGTGCAGGCGGTTTTTGAATTTGACACGGTGCAGATTTTGAGCCAATTTTTTTTGGTCTTGTACTGTGCGAAAAATTTTTGTTCAAGGTCGTTGCACTGTACAGATTTTTTGGTCTGTTTTTTTTGCACTGTGCGGACGATTTTTGAATTTGGCACGGTGCAGATTTTGAGCCAATTTTTTTTGGCCTTGCACTGTGCGAAAATTTTTTGTCCAAGACCATTGCACTGTGCAGATTTTTTGGTCTGTTTTTTGCACCGTGCAGACAATTTTTGAAATTTGGCACGGTGCGGATTTCGAAGCATTTTTTTTTGATTTTGCACTGTGCGAAAAATTTTTGTCCGAGGTCGTTGCACCGTGCAGATTTTTTGGTCTGTTTTTTTGCACCGTGCAGAAAATTTTTGAAATTTGCACGGTGCAGATTTTGAGCCAATTTTTTTTGGTTTTGCACTGTGCGAAAATTTTTTGTCCGAGGTCGTTGCACTGTGCAACCAATTTCATAAATTTTCGCACAGTGCGGTGCAAAAAATCAATTTTTTGGTCGGCACTGTGCAACCAATTTTTCGAATTTTTGCACGGTGCAAAAATAAAAAAAAGTGTAAAAAAGATTATTTTTCCGCATTTTAGGGAACATATCCGATGCTTTTCATTCAAATGGAGCTGTGCCATGCCAGTTTGGAGACCTATTTGCTCAAGCGAAGCCAACAAAAATTGGCGGAAGTGGATCATACCTTCAATTCAAAGATTGTCGAAGACGTTTTAAGTGCCATTGACTTCCTCCATGACCGAAATGTGATCCACAGAGACGTGAAACCCAGCAATGTTTTCTTGAAAAAGTATCCAAATGGCCGAATTAGGGCACTAATTGGGGATTTTGGCCTCGCGATTGGTGATGATGAGCTAAAAGATGATGGAGATGTATTGGTTAACCCTTTTCCAGTAATGTCGAGGAGGACTAAAGGCGTGGGAACGGCGTTATATGCGGCGCCAGAGCAGTTGAACTCGAGCAAGTACGATATTTCGGTGAGTTTTGGGATTTTTCGGAATTTTTGGGGAAAAAAGTGTTGTAAAATACGTTTTAAAATGGTGATTGCTGTCTATTATTACTGTAAGAGGTCATTTGATATATGATTTTACAGAAAAAAATATATTTTTTAAACTTTTTTTTTCAAAATTTTTTTGGGATTTTTTTGAAATTTGTTGTAAAAAATGATGTTTTTTGACAAGGAAAGTAGTTCTATGCGGATGAAGTTACAGGTCGAGACATATATCAAAAAAATCGCAAGGTTTTACTGATTCAGAATATGTAAAAATTAGCTGCCCAATTTTGGTTTGTAAGGTCGAAAAAATCCTCAGAACTTTTCTCCCAACACCACGCAAATGCCTTTTTGACCAAGTTTTTGCCAACTCAAAAGTTTTGTTTTGAGCTAAAGTAAACCCTGGCATCTTGACAAGCCTTGAAATATCAAATTTGATTAACACTACAATGCCCATTTTTTACATTGGAGCTAGTAATTAAGGTGTAGTATTGATCAGATTTGATATTTTAAGGCTTGTCATGATACCAGGGTTTACTTTAGCTCAAAACAAAACTTTTGAATTGGTAAAAACTTGGTCAAAAAGACATTTGCGTGGTGTTGCGAGAAAAGTTCTGAGGGATTTTTCGCCCTTATAAACCAAAACTGGGCAGCTAATTTTTACATATTCTGAATCAGTAAAATCTTGCGATTTTTTTGATGTATGTCTCGACCTGTAACTCCATGCCCCATGTAAGTACTTTTCTTGTCAAAAAATTTTTGAAATTTTGTCGAAAAAGTGACGTTTTTGATCAAAATAATCGAACTTTGTGACGTTTTATGACGGTTTGCCCAATTTCAGGCCGACATTTACAGCGTGGGAATGGTGATTTACGAGTTGTACCAGATTTTCCGCACGAATATGGAACGAGTTATGGCCCTGAAAGACCTCCGCGAATCAAATCAATGCTCTGATTCGTTCGCCGACCTCTGGCCGGAATGGACCCTACTCGTCGAGGCCATGGTCCACAAACTCCCAGTGGAACGCCCGACCGCCAAAAAAGTGCTCGCGAAAATCCGCAGAATGGGCGAAATGTCCGAGACGGGCAGGCTCCGAAAACAGCTCAGGTCCCTCGAAAAACGCAACCAACAGCTGATTGAGACCCTCAGGGCGTATCAACAGAGGTTTGGGAGCATCGAAGAGGTCAATGGAGACAATGTACAGCTAATTACATAGGAAAAATTCGAAAAAATTGAGATTTTTGGGGCAAAAACGGGGTTTTTGGAGGAAAATCGGGGTTTTTCGAAGGAATTAGATAATTTTTAGGTGCCATAATTTATTTTATGAACGTGACAGTGTTGTGGGTTGTGATTTTATACTGATTTTGAATAAATTTTGAAATTAAAAAAAAAATTTTTTTTCGAAAATTGATGAAAAACTACGTTTTCGTATATTTTTAGCTTCTTTTTTGCCAATTGTTGGATAATTTATCAGAAAAAGATTTATTTTTTGATTGAAATCTTGGAAAAAAGAGAAAAATTCAAAGGTCAGCGGACTTTTGGAACTTGATTGATGAGAAAAACGACGGCCAAAGTCCCGTTTTTTAACTATAAAATGTCCGTGAAAGACGAGAATTTATCGCTTTTGGTAGACTTGGATGGATCAGCGATCGAATTTGAGATTTTTTGAAAAAAAAAATTTTTTGAAAATGAAAATTTTTGGATGAAAAAAGAAAAAAGATTGTAAAATAAGCTATGAAAAGTCCAACGGGAGCCGTTTTTCAATTCGAAATTTTAAAAAATGGACAAAAAACAGTTTTTTATTTTTTCGCACTGTGCAATTAAAAAATTTTTTTGAAAATTTTGCACGGTGCGATGAGATTTTTTTTTCGGTTTTTTGCACTGTGCAATCTATTTTTTTGTCTAAATTTTGCACTGTGCGATGAAAAATTGTTTTTAATTTTTTGCACCGTGCAATTACAAATTTTTCGGAAAATTTCGCACTGTGCGATGAAAAATTATTTTCGATTTTTTGCACTGTGCGAAATGTTTTGTCTAAGTTTTGCATTACGCATAAAAAAATAAAAAAAAAATATAAAAAAAAAGGAAATTTGGTATTTGCTGATTAATTTTCATAGCTAAAGGATGACGCAAAAAGTGTAGAAGAAAAGATTCTTGAATAACAGATATTTTTCAAAAAAAATTGTAATTTGTAAATTATTCATCGATCTTCACTTTCACCCTCTTTTGTGTCGGTTTCTATTGAAGTTTTCTGTTGAAAAACTATTGTATTTACTATTGAGATTCTTGGCTGATATACATAAATTACTTTGAACAACCTTCTATCAGTCTGTCCGGAGAAATAATCGGCGATCTTCGATGCGACAGAATGCTCATTATTTTCCCGACAGTCTGATAGAAGGTGTTCCCAAATGTAATTGATGTATATCAGCCAAGAATTTCAATAGTAAATACAATATTTTTCAATAGAAAAATTTCAATAGAACGCGACACAAAAGAGTGTGAAAGTGAAGATCGATGAATAACTTACAAATTATACATTTTTTTCGAAAATATCTGTTATTCAATAATCTTTACTTCTACACTTTTTTATGTCATCCTGTAGGTACAGTGGGGGACCTGATCCAGTGGCAAGAAACGTATCATTTTTCATCCAGGAAGTGTCAAAAATGTAGCAAAATGCCTCCCTCTCCAACTAAAAAAAACTCCGTTAGCCTTTTTTCTCACAAAAAGAGCGGGCGCGCCTTTGAAATACGAGTTTTTTCACTTGGAGAGGGAAGCATTTTGCTACATTTTTTGATACTTCCTGGATGCAAAATGATACGTTTTTTGCCACTGGATCAGGTCCGCCGCTGTAGAGTCATCCGAAACGCCCGGGTCTTTGTAAGGCCGGGTTTCGAAAATTTTGAAAACGGCCGGCCCTACGTTTCATCGGGCCAGACCTGTTAGCATATATATTTTATTTTCTCATACAGTGGGAGACCTGGTCCAGTGGCCAAAAACGTACCATTTTGCATCCGGGAAGTATCAAAAAATGTAGCAAACTGTCTCCCTCTCCAACTAAAAAAACTCCGTTTGCCCTTTCCCTCACAAAAAAGCGGGAGCGCTTTTGAAATACGAGTTTTTTCAGTTGGAGAGGGAAGCATTTTGCTACATTTTTTGATACTTCCCGGATGCAAAATGATACGCTTTTTGCCACTGGATCAGCTCCCTCACTGTATGAAAAGAAAATGATTTTTATCTTATCATCCATCAATTTTGGCATCTGACCTTTCGCATATAACCCTTGTGACCTCTTCGCTTCACAAAAAATAAAATAAAAACCTTTGTAAACAAGAATCCGAATGCCAAATCATCATTTTTCGGAGAGCTGTCCTTGAGAAGGCCGCTACTTTTTACCAACTTTTTCTCCACTTTTCGAAAGTTTCGAACATAAATTTCTCTTATTTCTCCGCCCAAAATTTTTCGCTTTTTTAAACAGTCGGAAAATCGATATAAATTGGCCAAATCAGATCGATCTTGGACCCCAAAAAATTTTTGTTTGTGTATTTTATGGCCTTTGATTTTTGGACTTGTCGCGACTGCAAAAATTTTGGGAGAAAGTTTTCTTTCTGTTTATTTCATTCGATCTGATCATTTTGGAAGACGCACAGTGCAAAAAAGATATTCCTTCCGCACAGTGCAATCAAATTTTTTGATCATTAGAAGCGCACAGTGCAATGATCTTTTCGATTATTTTTTTGCACTGTGCACTCTGAAATTTCTTTTTTTCACTCAAAAATTCCTTTTTCCTTTGCACAGTGCAAGTTATTTTCATATTTTTGTCGCTGCCGCACAGTGCGAAATTTTTTTCTTTCGCTGGAAAATGCACTGTGCAATCAAATTTGGTTTGATTTCTGCACTGTGCATCTGGAAAAGCTAATTTTTGTCGCTTTTTGTCGCTGCCGCACAGTGCGAAATTTTTTCTTTCGCTGGAAAATGCACTGTGCAGTGAAAATTGAGTTGCTTTTTGCACTGTGCATTCAGAACAACCAATTTTTGATCTGTTTTGTCGCTGCTGCACAGTGCAAAATGTTTTCCTTTCGCTGGAAAACGCACTGTGCAATCAAATTTGGTTTGATTTCTGCACTGTGCATCTGGAAAAACTAATTTTTGTCGCTTTTTGTCGCTGCTGCACAGTGCGAAACTTTTTCCTTTCGTTGGAAAAGCACTGTGCAGTGAAAATTGAGTTGCTTTTTGCACTGTGCATCCGGAAAAACTAATTTTTGATCTTTTTTTGTCGCTGCCGCACAGTGCGAAACTTTTTTCTTTCGATGGGAAACGCACTGTGCAATCGAATTTGGTTAGATTTTTGCACTGTGCGTTTTGAAAAAATAATTTTTGTCCTTTTTTGTCGCTGCCGCACAGTGCGAAGCTTTTTTCTTTCGTTGGAAAAAGCACTGTGCAATCAAATCTGGTTAGATTTTTGCACTGTGCATTCAGAAAAGCTGATTTTTTGTCTTTTTTGTCGCTGCTGCACAGTGCGAAAATTTTTTTTTCGCTGGAAAATGCACTGTGCAGTGAAAATTGAGTTACTTTTTGCACTGTGCATCCGGAAAAAAACTAATTTTTGTCGCTTTTTGTCGCTGCCGCACAGTGCGAAACTTTTTTCTTTCGTTGGAAAACGCACTGTGCAAGTTGGTTTGATTTTTGCACTGTGCATTTTGAAAACTTCTTCAATTTTTCAATTTTTTTCCGTCGCGACACCCTCTTTCAAGTTCACTGTGCGGAAATTTTTATTTTTTGTCGCTTCTGCATTGTGCGAAATTTCCTTTTTTCTTGAACTGCACAGTGCAGCATACTTTTTTCAATGCACCGTGCATTGCAAAAAAAAAAAAAAAAAAAAAATTTTTTTTTGATTCCAGAGATGCGGACTCTCGGACTTCTCCTGGCCATTGTGGCCCTATCGATCGCCGATCAACGCGCCGACGACGAGATCAAGGACTTGCCCGGAGTCAACTTTGACATCAACTTCAAGCATTTCAGCGGTTTCCTTCAAGGCTCCGAAACTCATTTCCTTCATTATTGGTTCGTCGAATCGCAGGGCAACCCCGCCAAGGACCCGCTGATTTTCTGGTTCAATGGTGGTCCGGGCTGCTCGTCGTTGGACGGCCTTCTCAACGAGATGGGCCCATATGAGGCTCATGAAAATGGTGTCGATTTGAAGAGCAACCCCTACGCTTGGAATAAAGTAGGTTTTAAATGGCATAAGATGGCCATTGGGAGTATTGAAAATAAGTTTTTGACACTTTCTGAGATGACCACAGTGTTTCAGGAAATTTTATTTTTTTGCACAGTGCAAAAAATTTTTTGATTTTTTGCACAGTGCAGAGGCGACGTGAAGTTTCCAAAATCGCCATACGTATTTTTTATGGTCCACAGAAGCTTATTAAAATTGAATTTTAAAATTTGCTCTCTTATTTTTTGCACTGTGCAGCAATATTTACACTGCACCGTGCACAAAAGTTTTTGATTTATTGCACTGTGCAGAGGCGATGTAAAGTTTTCAAAATTGCATGAATTATTTCTCATGGTCCATGGTAAAATATAAAAATAAAATTTCGAAATTTGCTTACTTACATTTTGCACGGTGCCTCAATATTTACATTGCACGGTGCAAGTAAGAAAATCCAAAGTCCTTTGAAGAAAATGTAAAATATAACTTTCGTTGTAGTCTACGCTATTTTACAGTCCATAAAATTATAGCCGTTCCGTATTTTACCCTGAAATTTCAAGGATTCATAACTTTTTTCAGTTCGCTTCCGTGGTTTACATTGAATCCCCCGCTGGCGTTGGATTCTCCTACTCGACGGATGGAAACACCACTACCAACGATGATCAGACCTCTTTGGAGAGCTACAACGCCATCAAGAAGTGGTTCGAGGTTCACTCCGAGTTCCGTCATCATCAAACTTTCATCATGGGCGAGAGCTACGGCGGTGTTTATGTTCCAACGCTGACTGCTCGGATTGTCGAAGGCCAGAGCGACTTCCCGATCAATTTGAAGGTAAAATACGGGAATACACGCTGTCGAAATTTAATATTGACGAAACGGAGGTTTTCGTGGTGAGACCAAAAATTTAGAGAAATTTGGAGATTTTTTTGGTCCTGTAGCGAAAACAAGAAGAAATTTTTTCTAAAAAAATTATGAATTATTTTTTTTATACGTATTTTACAAGAAAATCCCAAAATTAATAACAAAATAAAAAAAAATTTGTCCCGCCACGAAAACCTGAAGATCACAGAAGGCTTTAAAAAATAGTAAATTAAGACATTGATAATGACAGAGCATCTTTATAATTTTATTCGTCGAGAATTCCGCTGAAAATGACGTCTTTTGATAATAATGGGTCCCGCAACGAAAACCTGAAATTCTCAGAAAACATGAAAATTTCTAAAATACAAGCATTTTATATGGTTTTATTGCATTTGTGACTAAATCTCACTTTGAAAATTTAACTTTTTCATAAAAATGGGTCTCACCACGAAAACTTGAATTCCTTCAAAATGAATGAATTTTAAAGTTTTAGTAATTAGGGTCATATTTTACAATTTAAACTTTATTTTTTCGCCCATTTATCCAACATTTTTTCAGGGCATGGCCATCGGAAACGGCTACGTGAACGAGAAACTGAACGTCGACACCTCGATCCGCTTCGCTTATGGTCACGGAATCATCGACGAGAAGGTCTGGAACACCCTCGAACTGCAATGCTGTCGTGGCTGCATTGACGGTTGTGATCTGACCAAACTGGATGGGCATTGCGCCACTCAAGTCGAGGAGATCTTCGAATTCCTTTGGTTCGGAGGCCTGAATCCATATGATTTGTATCGCAAATGCGACCCCAACCCCGGAATCAACAGCATTAAGATGGACTCGTTGCGACTGGGAATGGCGCCAAGCTTCATTCAGAAGAAGAGAAAGAGCAACGCTTTCAAGCTGCGCAAGGCCATGAACAAGGTAAAATACGGGAAGTTCGAGAGTAGTTTTTTCACAGGAAAAGTTCTTTTATGCGGCATGTATCAAAAAAATCGCAAAATCTATTTGATTCGGAATATGTAAAAATTAGCTGCCCAGTTATGGTTTATAAGGGTGACATTAGACTACAGTAAAAATTCGAGACAAAGAAAAAGCTCTAATTTTCATAGCTGACAATGGAATTACCCCTAGTGCGACTCTCAGATTTTCTTTAAATTTTGCACATGGGCCGGACATAGGCCACACATCAATTCCTGAAAGTTTCAGCCCGCACCTTTCAGGGGCGACCAAGATATTCAACGATTCTTTGCGGTCAGGAGGGCACATGAGTGGTCACACAGAAAAACTTTTTGGCCATATCTTCGCTAGTTTTGTGCGGAGATAGCTGATTTTTTGTGGAAACGGTATTCTCCATGGCATGAACAGGGATGAAACTTTTAACGACAAAATTCGTAAAAAAAGTCATTTTTTCTGGCGGTTTTCACACACGCCGAAAAAGCAGAGAAAACGACCGAAAGGCCAATAACTATGAACTAGGTCCTTGTATATATAACATATTTGGTATTAAACAAAATGGGGTTGTCTGAGGATTCAGGGAAAAAAAGAATTTTAACATTCGGATAAAAACTAAAAAAGTTATAGCCAATTCAAGTCCGGCCGAAAAATTGCCGCACCCTGTATTTAATTTCAGATCCTCCCTCCCCACCGTTTCGGAGCTTCCGTCCCCTGCCTCAATGACACCGATGTCACTACTTACATGAACAACCCAGCGGTCAGAAAGGCCCTCCACATCCCTGACCATCTTCCTCGTTGGGATATCTGCAGGTGAGCAAGGAAACAAAGGTGTGAGCCTTATTTCTACCGGGCAATATTGGCTCTTCTATACACCCAATCTATACGTTTCACGTAGTACTTCAACCGACAATATCTTTGAACTTCTCGGTTGTCTCTGCAAAGAGCGACCGGGTATTTTTTGAACTTCAGTGTCGGAATTGATCCAGTGGCAAAAAACGTACCATTTTGCATCCGGGAAGTATCAAAAAGGTGGCAAAATACCTCCCTCTCCAAGTGAAAAAAACTCCGATTTCAAAAGCGCGCCCGCTCTTTTTGTGAGGGAAAGGGCGCGCCTTTAAAAAAGGAGTTTTTTAGTTGGAAAGGGAGGCATTTTGCCACATTTTTTTGATACTTCTTCTCGGATGCGAAATGGTACGTTTTTTTGCCACTGGATCAGGTCGGTCACAGTATTACTTTTGAAATTTTTGTTGACGATATAATACAGTGTCGGAATTGATCCAGTGGCAAAAAACGTACCATTTTGCATCCGGGAAGTATCAAAAATGTAGCAAAATACCTTCCTCTCCAAGTGAAAAAAACTCCGGTTTCAAAAGCGCGCCCGCTCTTTTTGTGAGGAAAACCTTCAACACGGGGTTTTTTTTAATTGTAGAGGGAGGCATTTTGCTACATTTTTGAAACTTCCCGGATGCAGAATGATACGTTTTTTGCCACTGGATCAGGTCTGTCGCTGTGTAGGTAGCCTAGACAAAATTTGGGCCGAATATTTGTAAAAAAATCGAGCGTCGTACTTTTGACACGTCCCTTGTCGAGAAAAAATCAAAGAAAACGGGCCTTGTATGATACGTGTTCTGATTCACTATTTTCTGCAGTGACGACATCACCACCAAGTACCAAAAACAGTACGGAGATGTGGCTCCATTCATCCGCAAGATCCTCGACGCTCATGTCCGAGTCCTGCTCTACTACGGCGACACCGACATGGCCTGCAATTTCATGATGGGACAGCAGTTCAGCGCGCAGTTGGGAATCAAGCGATCCGTGGGAAAACAGCCCTGGAAGTTCGACGGGCAGATCGCCGGATTCAAGACGTTGTATCAGAACCAGCTCACTTTCCTCACGGTTCGCGGCGCTGGCCATATGGCGCCACAATGGAGAGCGCCGGAGATGGACTACGCCATCAAACAGTTCATCTTGAACCATCCTATTTAAGGAATTTACTGTTATTTATATGGAGGAAAAGCTGTGAGATTACTGTTGGTTCATCGTAATTTTGAAGGCTTTATAATATTTAGAAATTGAATTACTGTAACTTTTTGAAAATGAGATCAAAGAGTTGCGTTTTTTTGTGCTTTAATCGTTGCCAAATTTGGAGTTTTGGAATAAACTTTGATAAACAATCGTTTTTATGGCCTGGAAGATAAACAAAAATGAGTCAGATCACGATCGGACATCGTGTAATGATGATATAAATGATTAACAAAGCAATTTTTGATCTTTGCACTGTGCAAAAAGTCAAAAACTTTTTTTGCACGGTGCAATGAAGATATTGCTGTATAGTGCAAAATTTTTGCAAGAAAATCTCGAAATTCTATTATGGTATGTTTGTAGGGACTATAAGAAATAAGCCGTGCGACTTTCGAAGCTTGGCGTCGCCTCTGCACTGTGCAAAAAATCAAAAACTTTTGTGCACGGTGCAACAAATATATTGCCGCACAGTGTAAAATGTGAGTTATGAAATCTTAAAATTCTATTCGAATATCTTGCTATTGCCCATAAGAAATAAGCCTTGCGATTTTCAAAGCTTAACGTTGCCTCTGCACAGTGCAAAAATTCAAAAACTTTCTGCACGGTGCAATTAAAATATTGCTGCATAGTGCAAAATGTTGGCAAGAAAGTTTCAAATTTCTATTATGGTATGCTTCTAGGAAGCATAAGAAATAAGCTTTGCTATTTTTAATACACCAAATCATTTATGCACAGTGCAAAAAATCAAAAACCTTCTTGCACTGTGCAATGAAAATATTGCAGCACTGTGCAAAATGAAGGCAAGAAAATTTCAAACTGCTCTTATGGTATGTTTCTAAGCACTATTAGAAACACGTTTTGCTATGTTTCAAAACTTGATGTCGCCTCTGTACAGTGCAGCAAATCAAAAACTTTTCTGCACGGTGCAAAGAAAATATTGCTGCACAGTGCAAAATTTAGCAAGAAAATTTTAAAATTTCTATTGTGGTATGTTTCTAGGGACTAAAATAAATATGTTTTGCAATTTTTAATACACAGCATCGCCTCTGCACTGTGCAAAAAATCAAAAACTTTCTTGCACGGTGCAATTAAAATATTCCTGCACTGTTCAAAACATAAGCAAGCAAATTTCAAATTTTTGCCATGGTACGTTTCTAAGGACTATAAGAAATAAGCCATGCGATTTTCAAAGCTTGCTGTCGCCTGTGCACCGTGCAAAAAATCAAAAAATTTCTTGCACGGTGCAATTAAAATTTTGCCGCACAGTGCAAAATGTAGACAAGAAAATTTCAAATTTCTATTATGGTATGTTTATAGAGACTATGAGAAATACTTTTTGCAATTTTGAGTACACAATATCGCCTCTGCACAGTGAAAAAAATCAAAAACTTTTTTTGCACGGTGCAAGAAATTCTTTCGAGTAAACACCAAAAATAGCCTCGCAATTAGCACAAACACGAACGACAGATTGTGTTGTTTGCGGCGGAGATTGATCACGCAATCACAAATCTGCGGCTGACGGCAAGATAAACTTGATTTTTGTAGAGAACATCCTTTGCTCGAGGAAGTGATTAGAAAAAACCAAACAAGTTTCGTCGACGCAATCTTCGCTCATTTTCCGAGCACTCTGCAGTTTTGTAGCATTCTCTCCCCATTTTACAGTAATCAATCGGCATCAACGAGGTGTGCGAGTTGTTTTGCCGGGCCTTTCTCTCATTCTACATGCATTTCAGAGGCTGGTGAAACGTTTTTTCGGCCCCATTTTATTTTTTACACTGCTCTTTTTACAACGCAAAAGTTTTATTTTTACTATGAAGAGACTTTGTCCGTTTTACAAAGCGCCAAAGTTTGCTGTAAATATAGTTGTTTTTTTGTCATGCCATTATTTATTGACAGATGAGCAAAGTCGAACGTGTTAATTGGTGGAAGCAAAACAATCAAGGTGAAAAGATCTCTTGCCGTAACTTTCAGTCTGTCGGGAAAATAATGAGCACAATTTCGCATTCAGAATCGCATCGATGAAGTGAAAAAAAATTTGATTTTGTCGCGACACAGTTCATTTTCTCGGCGGCCATGCGATTTTCGATGCGACAGAGTGCTCATTATTTTCCCGACAGACTGATATGCACAAAGATTTCAGCGAAAGAAGACTGCGTATTTTACAAACTTTCTTTGTTTGGATTTCCTAAACAATCTTTCGTGACTTGTAAAATACGAGGCTTCCAGCATTCCGAACTTTTTTCGCCGGTGTCCACAAAAAATGAAAAAATAGAAAGTGGCTATCACGTTTTTGTACGTGTACGGCTAACGAAAAGATATACCGGCAAAAAGAAAAAATCCGTATGTAGAGTATCTAATTTCCTTTCAGAATATATAAACTTTGTCATCAGAATGCTCGCTACCGTTGAGAAAATCGGCGCTGAAAAAAGCGCAATTTCGACTTTTAATGCCAAAAAAATGTACTTTCTTGGGGCCAACAAAAAAAGATAGTGGAGTCTGTCGTGAAGAGAATTTCAAGGGCTACAACATATCAAAATTTCAAGATTTTTGTTGGGGTCTGAGCAAAGTTAGAGCCAGAAAATGTTTGATCTTGGCCATTTTTTGCACTTTTTTTTACTTATTTTCACTTTTAGTGCAAAAATAAAAAATAGTCCGTGGTCGAAGGATTATCTATGTCATAGTCAAAACACATGCCAAATTCCATGTTTCTATTACGCCTCTGAGGCCCTGAGTATCGATTACAGCGCGCTGCTACAACTTCTTGTTACGTCTTTCAAGCACGTATACCCCAAAAAAAGATTCCCCTAATTTCCTTTAACTGCACTGTGCAAAATATTAAAAACTCATCTCTGCACTGTGCAAAAATTCAAAATTTAAAAAATGGGCTGCAAATAAATTGCAGGGCACTTTCTGTATCTGTAAGCATCAATCCACCAAGGTTGTTGCTCTATACGGGCGCAAAAATTTGTTTTAAGTCGACGCACAGTGCGAAAACAAAGGTTAACTTTGCACTGTGCAATTGATTGCTCTTTGCACCTTGCAAGGTTTTTTGGACTGTCGCTCGTACCCTGACGTTTTCTGCGCAGTACGAAAGCCAAAAATCACTCCAGCGACTTTACTAACGGATTATAAGTCTGTCGGGAAAATAACGAGCACAATCTCACAGCGCCAACCGCGTCGCCAAAGTGAAAAGCAATTTGATTTTTGCAGCGACACAATCTACAGGGTGGGGCATATTTGTGGCCCGATTTGAATTGGCTATAACTTCTTTAGTTTTTGGCCAAATCTTAAAATTCTTTTTTTCCCTGAATCCTCTGACAACCCCATTTTGTTTGTTACCAAATATGTTATACATAGGTAAATGCCATCTACAGTTATTGGATTTATTCTTGGAGTTCATTTTCACTGCGTATTTTACAAACCACCTTGCTTAGATTTCCAAAAAGAATAGTCATTATTTTCTCGACAGGCTGATAGTAACTCAAGCAAAATCATGGAGATAAGCTTGAGAGTAGCTCAAAAAAGCTCTTTCCACGGTGTAAAAAACACCCAAGTTTTACAGTGCAAAGTGAACTTTTGTTTTCTCACAATGCACGTCGCCAAAATCACTCCAGCGACATTACAAACCGACTAGTACATCCGTCGTATTCCTTCTTTCATGTACAAAACATTGATCATCATACGACTCCTTCCCACCCTCACGTAAACACGCGTCAGACCTGTTAAGCCTGAGTACAACGACAAATCAGCCATTAGCGACTTCATCCATCACCAGCAAAGGGCTTTTGTAATATGCCCCGGGGCAGTTTTTTCGATTGTCGTCACGTAAAATGTGGTATTTTGAGATTAAGAAATTTTACTTTGAGTATAAATAGAAGCTCAAAATGGCTATAAATTTAAGTTGTAAAGGTTATTTTAGGCGATTTCCTTGAAAAGCGCTGAGCAATCGGCTGCACTGTGCAATGAATAGAAAAGGGCGATAAAGCCGGTGACGTGGTGATTTGGCGATCGGGAAATGGTTTTATAAAAAGGGTTTGAGCTCTATTTTCTTGGTTTAAAGCAATTTTAAATCGTTTTGATCGGTAAGAGAAAAATGAGATTTTTTGTATTTTTGCACAGTGCAAAGAAAAACAGGTGGAAGTTTGGTATTGTAATGTTAAAATCTGGTTAGTATATTGGCTAGGATATATAAACGGAGCGTTAATGGCCGTATTTTACAACAAAACGGTCATCTTCTGCGGCTGCACAGTGCAATAAAAACTTTTTGTTTTTTGCACAGTGCAAAGGAAAAAAGTAAAATTTTTGATGTTGTAATGTTAAAATCTAGTTTTTACACTAGCCGTGATTTGCAAACCGGGCGATAATGGTCGTATTTTAAAACGAAAATGTCGTCTTCTGCGACTGCACAGTGCAATAGAAATTTTTTGCCGTTTTGCACAGTGCAAAGGAGAAAATGGAAGTTTGGTGTTGTAATGTTAGAATCTCGTTCCTAAGTTAGGTAGGATATATTTACAGGGCTCTAGCGGCCGTATTTTACAACAAAATGTCATCTTCTGCAACTGCACAGTGCAATAGAAACCTTTTGTTGTTTTGTGCAAAGGAAAAAAGTAAAACCTTTGACATTTTAATGCACATTAGCTAGGATATACAGGTTTTGGTTCCCGTATTTTACAAAAAAAACCTTCTTCTGCGATTGCACGGTGCAATAAAAACGTTTTGTTTTTTTTGCACAGTGCAAAGGAAAAAAGTGAATAGTTTGATATGGTAACCACTAAATCTTGTTTCTACATTAGCTAGGATATGAATACCGGGAGTTAGTCCAGATATTCTACAACAAAATGTCATCTTCTGCGATGGCACGGTGCAATAAAAACATTTTGTATTTTTGCACAGTGCAAAGGAAAAAAGTGGGAAGTTTGGTATTGTGATGTTAGTTGAAGCAAAACAATCGAGGTGAATAGCTC